GGGGAGAATAGTTAAGAGAAAGGGAGAATAGTTGAGAGAAGGGGAGAATAGTTGAAAGAAGGGGAGAATAGTTAAGAGTAAGCAGAGAATAGTTGAGAGAAGGGGAGAATAGTTGAGAGAAGGGGAGAATAGTTGAGAGTAAGGGGAGAATAGTTAAGAGAAGGGGAGAATAGTTAAGAGTAAGGGGAGAATAGTTGAGAGAAGGGGAGAATAGTTGAGAGTAAGGGGAGAATAGTTGAGAGAAGGGGAGAATAGTTAAGAGTAAGGGGAGAATAGTTGAGAGAAGGGGAGAATAGTTGAGAGAAGGGGAGAATAAATTTAGATTTAAAGCTTTCGTGACTGCAGGGATTCATATTCTTGTTTCTTTCGGTAAAGTCACGTAGAAGCGAAACAATAAAATAATAAAAATATAAAACAATACAATTTTCACGACGTTTCGACTGCAACACAAGCAATCATCATCAGGTGTGAAAACCACAGCAAGAAAAATTGAAAAAAGTGGCGGTTATTTTAACGTTAGCACCACGGAGAGCGATTTGACAGTTTGTTCAGATGGACGAGTCCATATATGTTCGGAAAAGAGGAGGGGGGAGACGAAAATTAATGTATGCTGTCTGAAAGCCACCTTAAGCGTGAACAATCAATTAAGACCCGAAATGGTTTATCAAATCCTTCCAATGATTGCTAAGCCAGAATCCATCTTCTCGGTTGAAATTGTCTCTGTGTTTGTATATGTGGATAGCCTCATGACCGAATCGCTCATGGTAGTTGAGAGAAGGGGGAGAATAGTTGAGAGAAGGGGAGAATAGTTCAGACAAGTGGAGAATAGTTAAGAGGTGACTCAGCCGATGGAGAAGATAAAGGCCCGTCTGTAGGACCACAGGCTGTCCTCTCGAAAGATGTTGCCCACCTGTCCGTCTCGGTCTTCCACGCTCTAAGATCTCCAAAATCGTGCGTAGTAGGAAAACATGCATAACACCGAAACGTGTTTCCCTGGGAAAATATGCAAAAGTTGTCCGAATGGACGTAACAAATTTACGTAACATTGAAATATTTTTTTTTTTAAATAGACGTGCTGAACTATGCAAAGAGGTTTTTTTATTCGTCAATGTTCGAGTCCACCCCCCTTGAGTTCAGTTGGTACGGTCCAGATTTGACATGGGGAAGCGTCACGGCGCGTTGTGGTTATGGTCAGAATGTGGCTGTTGTGGTTGTGGCTATATTGTGGTTGTGATTATATTCTGGCTGTTGTCGCCATGATTGTGGTTACAACTGTAAGTCACCATCTGTTTCCAACCCTGGATAATCCACATTCCTATGGCGGAATTGAGTCGAAAGGACAACCACTCTTAACTTCCCCACAAAGTGGAAGTTATTTTATCGACCACGAATGCATGATGGGCTGAGTCAAGTGCAAATCAGGATATGAACTCGCAAATTTCTGATGTGAGCCACTCGCTCCATCGTTGAGTTTCCTGGCTGGTTTACTCACACTTAGCAGACATTGACCTGTCATTCACCGATAACTGCACATAAAGCCCAAACCTTAAAATGGTGTTCTTCATTTAATTCGGCGGAACCCCAGCTCTGAGAACAAACAATACGAGTGTGACCGTCTTACGACGAACACTACGACGAACTCTTGGTGGTGGAGTGGGTGGAAAAATTGTGCCACCTACTGTGTGAAGGGATATCGGGTCAGTTTAACACGTAGGCTTTCGCGTCCAATATCCATAATAGACTTTTTTGGTTAGATCGTGTAAATATGAATTAGTCGTTAAACCCGCCACCACACGACACAGCCAACTAGTAAGGTTTGCCACGTAAACAAAACATGCAAATTCGTTGTTAGTTCAGTACACTGGTTGTGTGTTAGAGAGTAAACCCACAACATCTACAATTGGGTTTACTCTCAATGGCTGTGTCGGGTGGTGGCGGGTTGAACGACACATTTATAATGATGCGATCTAACCCAAAAACCTCTCTTAGGGATATCAGGTATTTCTATCGGTACCCATAGACGACACCCTTGCAAATTACGTTTAATTTCAACGGATTATTCAGTTCAACATTTTAATAAAAATGCAGTGGGCCATTCTTTACCACAATCGGTTGCAATGATCTGCACAAGACATTAAAATTAAATTTTCTGTCTCATAGCATGAGGCCGTTTACCAAAATCAGGATCAATTTGTGGCAGATTTTTTGTTTTTAAATATATATTTTCAAAGTTGTCACTCGCTGAGGCCGATGGCCGGGCTCGGGCAGCTTATGCCGACGATCCTCTTCAGCATCTCCGGGTGGTGGAAGGTTGAAGTGTCATTGACAGCTGCCTGCGTCAGGCAAGGCCAACAAATGACACAGACCGTGCGTGCAGCCTGGAGGAAGGTAGCTCAGCGTCAGCGACAGGCAGGGCCGAGTGTGAATGCGTTATCGTGCCCATGCACGCAGCGTGCACGCTTTGCCCTCTCTCCCCACTGATGTGTTGCTGGCGGAGTCCTCAGCACCGAGGCTCTTGTTGGTCATGGCTTCGTACTGGTTCGAGCATTCTCGCATTTCTTTAGAAATTTGAAAACTCGCTTATTTAGAACTGCCTTTGTATTCTTAGTTTTTTCGGTAAAGTCACGTTGAAGAGAAACAACAAAATAATAAAATATATAACAATAAAAAATATATTATATATTTTATTATTTTGTTGTTTCTCTTCAACGTGACTTTACCGAAAAAACTAAGAATATGAATTACTGCAGTCACGAAAGCTTTAAATCAAAATTTAACTGCCTTTGTGTTTAGTTTGTTATCCGTCCACCTGTTTGGTTCCTTATTTAGAGGCGTAGATGTGGTGACCACACTTCTGCGCTCTTGCGCCACGTGGGGGAGGGGGGGGGTTAATGAGTCAAATTAATGAATCATCCTTCCTCCACGATAGATAAAATAAGCAATGCTTCATAAGAATGTATTAAATCCCATAATCGCATAGGGTATTTATATTTATACCGTTAGTATTAATGATGAATGTCGTGAGTTGGGTATTTTTTTGGAGTGTGACTAAACTGATTTGAGTAAAATGCTGCTAGGGCCTGGAGGGGTCACGTGAACTCGTTACATACAACACATTCAAACATTTAATCGTTCACACGCGATTTAATTAATGTATCACGAGCTTAGTAATTTCAATGAATCGATTACAGAATAACTATTTTCCTAGACTCCGATTATCCACGGGAACTTTTGAGTCTGAAACTCCCATTTTTAGCGGCCCTATGTTTGTAATTTCCGCAATTTCCCCCATATTTCATTGCTAAATTACTTCCATTAAACTTTTTTTATGGATAAGAGTTGAAAGGCAAATTCATACTATTATCTGCAAATATTTTTCCCACCACGGATAGGTGGAGTAGAAATGCGGATAAACTCTCAGATATCATCATCACCACGATCCATTAGCAGGTAGCCCGTAGGTCTTTGTGCCCACTTTCCTCTGTCTTGTGCCAATCTACTCAAGTAGTGCACATCTTCTGGCACCAGCCTCTTATGTCGTCAAGCCATTCTCTGTTAGGTCTTCCTCTCTTGATGCTTCTTTCCATCTTGCCGAACAGCACGCTTTTAATTTTCCTGTTGTCCATCCTACATGTGCCCAAATAGTGTGTTGCACACTCGAAATGAAGGACGTGGGCAGGTGCTCCAAATCGAGAGCAAACACATTTATACTGGTAGGAACCTCCTGGTTACACCAGCCCACAGGGGAGTATTGTGTCCGTCCATCCGTCGTGCATCCAAAAATGGGAGGGGTGGAGAGGGGAGGGGCTGGGTGGGGAGGAGAGGGTGGGGAGGGGAGGGTGGGGAGGGGAGGGTGCGGAGGGGCTGGGTGGGGAGGGGTTGGGTGGGGAGGGGCTGGGTGGGGAGGGGCAGGGTGGGGAGGGGCTGGGTGGGGAGGGGCTGGGTGGGTAGGGGCTGGGTGGGGAGGGGCTGGTCACCCCGTGGTGCCCTTATAAAACTCAACGTTTAACCTACTCACGCCGGCTTGTGCCCGCCCTCACAGTCGGGCATATTTGCGGAATACACCACGTGGTGCCGCCGTTGACCCTGCCAATTGACCGAACAACCCAACGTTCCTACCAGCTCCCTCCGCAGGAATGTGTTTGTGGTTAATCCGTTGACTGCAACAGCACGTGTGTCACACACAGCAATCTTCACCGAGTCGCCATTAACCACGTGACTGGTGTACACGTCTGGTTAATCATTAACCCTGCCAGTCCTCCCACAGGCCCAAATCAGTACTCACATGCTGGTGTACACACGTGCATTGATGTACTGCACAGCACATGAGGACTTATTAAAAGAGTGGTCAATTCTTAATGTGCCACAAGTGCCAGTTTCCTTCTCATCACTGCCTACATCAGGTCTTCTCCGAATAACAGGATCTGCAATATTACCACCCCTTCCCCGCCCACAACGACTAAGGCTGAGAGTTAGATTCTCAATACACGAGTTCAAATCAAATTTGACACTTCATCAAATGCTAACGAGATGTTAACTACCTTGCGTGTTATACAGGAGGTCGTGGGTTCGATTCCGATCCTGACAACTGTATATTTGTAGTTTGCGTGTCTCTCTCTTTCTGTCCTCGTGGTCGCGTGGATTTCTCTATGGGCCCTCCGGTTTTTTTCCCCTCCACATTTCGCAACATGCCGTTCGGAGTATGAGGCTGCTATAAAATGTCCACGTGGTGATAAGCCAATTCGTTGAGCAATCACTTGTAGCTTCTGCACAAAAAAAAAGTTTAACACTGCGTAACCCTCACAAAGTCTCGCCACCATAAAAGCGGGGGCCTTGCCTGGTAAAAAAAAATCTAATGAACAAAAAAAAATCCGGTGTTCATTAGTTTCAGCTGAGTGTGTGTGTGTGGTGTGCGTTTCTCTCCACTGACGCCAATGGGATTGAGCGCTCTCGCATTGCTTGGCGTCCGATCACGACCCCCGCCGCCCCCACCGCCCCTCCCCCCGTGCGTGCCCTTTGAACCCGGAAGCGAGCGAGCGTCGCCCGCCCTCCCACGTCTGTAAACATTTTCCCTGTTGCAGTAAGGAGAGGGAGAGAGAGAAGTAAATACATTCAATCGTCGCTAATTTGCGGGCGGCGGGGGGGGGGGTGTTTAGTGTTGTCGTCGTCGCATCTATTTAAAATCAACGACACCCATCGATGTTCGGCGTCGTGTCGCTCCAGTCGGTCATGCTGCTGGTGGCGGTGGCATTCGTGGTGGCATTCGTACTGCTGCTCTACATGCTGTCTCCACTCGTCAACCCCGCACGGCTGGGGCTCAGCGGCGCTCATGTGGTGGTGAGACCCCACCACCAGAATCACAGTAACACAGCGACACACTTATACAGTTAGACGAGACCCCCCACCACCACCACCACCCCCAGCATCACAGTAACACAACGACACACTTATACAGTTAGACGAGACCCCCCACCAACACCACCACCCCCAGCATCACAGTAACACAACGACACACTTATACAGTTAGACGAGACCCCCCACCACCACCACCACCCCCAGCATCACAGTAACACAACGACACACTTATACAGTTAGACGAGACCCCCCACCAACACCACCACCCCCAGCATCACAGTAACACAACGACACACTTATACAGTTAGACGAGACCCCCCACCACCACCACCACCCCCAGCATCACAGTAACACAACGACACACTTATACAGTTAGACGAGTGCTCGGCTGGTGGTGGTGGTGGTGGAGGCTCTGCTAAGCAGCACAAGTCAACACGAATTAATGGAATGCTGCGGAGTTAACTGCATACGAACGAACTTAAGGCGCTCATGTATGTGGCGATGAGACACCCCTCCCCCTCCACAGCATCATAGTAACACAAAGTACTGTACACTTCTCATTAACTCGTACAGTTTGGCGAGAGCTTCTGGTGATAGTGAAGGCTCTGCTAAGCAGCATGGGTTAACGCGAATTCATGGAATGCCGTAGAGTTTAGTGCTTGCTAACGTCACGTGAGGTACGGATGTCACGTTTGAGAGCCAGCATTAGGGTGGGTTTAACTACACCAATACACTTTGTAACTCATGCAAATTACGTGAAACTCGTGTGATGGCGAGGCTATGCTAATCGGCAATGGTTAACGCGAATTTAATGGCATGCTGTAGAGTTAACAGTGCCTGCTAACGTAAGGCGCGCATGTCACGTTTGAGACCCGGCATGAGACTAAAATACGACACGAATACACCCGTCCAATATTGGACTGATTATAGTTACATTAGAGCTGGTGTGGGTTTGAGGCGAGGCGGCATTCATTAACTCGAAATTCGAGTTTAGATAACTGTCATCTCGCTTGATAAGGAGCTCGTATGGTGGTGATACTGTTAGGGTTACATAGTGTTAACTAGCGTGTTAACTAGCTGGTGTAGTGGTGAGACTGTTAGGGTTACACAGTATTAACTACCGTGTTAACTAGCTCGTATAGTGGTGATACTGTTAGGGTTACACAGTGTTAACTAGCGTGTTAACTAGCTCGTATAGTGGTGATACTGTTAGGGTTACATAGTGTTAACTAGCGTGTTAACTAGCTGGTGTGGTGGTGATACTGTTAGGGTTACAGAGTGTTAACTAGCGTGTTAACTAGCTAGTGTGGTGGTGATACTGTTAGGGTTACACAGTGTTAACTAGCTTGTTAACTAGCTGGTGTGTTGGTGAGACTGTTAGGGTTACACAGTGTTAACTAGTGTGTTAACTAGCTCGTATAGTAGTGAGACTGGTAGGGTTACACAGTGTTAACTAGCGTGTTAACTAGCTCGTATAGTGGTGAGACTGGTAGGGTTACACAGTGATAACTAGCGTGTTAACTAGCTCGTATGGTGGTGAGACTGTTAAGGTTACACAGTGTTAACTAGCGTGTTAACTAGCTGGTGTAGTGGTGAGACTTTTAGAGTTACACAGTGTTAACTAGCGTGTTAACTAGCTGGTGTGGTGGTGAGACTGTTAGGGTTACACAGTGTTAACTAGCGTGTTAACTAGCTGGTGTGGTGGTAAGACTGTTAGGGTTACACAGTGTTAACTACCGTGTTAACTAGCTCGTTTAGTGGTGAGACTGTTAGGGTTACACAGTGTTAACTAGCGTGTTAACTAGCTCGTATAGTGGTGAGACTGTTAGGGTTACATAGTGTTAACTAGTGTGTTAACTAGCTCGTATAGTGGTGAGACTGTTAGGGTTACACAGTGTTAACTAGCGTGTTAACTAGCTGGTGTGGTGGTGAGACTTTTAGAGTTACACAGTGTTAACTAGCGTGTTAACTAGCTGGTGTGGTGGTGCGACTGTTAGGGATACACAGTGTTAACTAGCGTGTTAACTAGCTCGTATAGTAGTGAGACTGTTAGGGTTACACAGTGTTAACTAGCGTGTTAACTAGCTCGTATAGTGGTGAGACTGTTAGGGTTACACAGTGTTAACTAGCGTATTAACTAGCTCGTGTGGTGGTGAGACTGTTAGGGTTACACAGTGTTAACTAGCGTGTTAACTAGCTGGTGTGGTGGTGAAACTTTTAGGGTTACACAGTGTTAACTAGCGTGTTAACTAGCTGGTGTGGTGGTGAAACTTTTAGGGTTACACAGTGTTAACTAGCTGGTGTGATGGTGGGACTGTTAGGGTTACACAGTGTTAACTAGCGTGTTAACTAGCTCGTATAGTGGTGAGACTGTTAGGGTTACACAGTGTTAACTAGCGTGTTAACTAGCTGGTGTGGTGGTGAAACTTTTAGAGTTGCACAGTGTTAACTAGCTGGTGTGGTGATGAGACTGTTAGGGTTACACAGTGTTAACTAGCGTGTTAACTAGCTGGTGTGGTGGTGAAACTTTTAGAGTTACACAGTGTTAACTAGCGTGTTAACTGGCTCGTATAGTGGTGAGACTGTTAGGGTTACACAGTGTTAACTAGCGTATTAACTAGCTGGTGTTGTGGTGAGACTGTTAGGGTTACACAGTGTTAACTAGCGTGTTAACTAGCTCGTATAGTGGTGAGACTGTTAGGGTTACACAGTGTTAACTACCGGTAAAGTCACGCAGATAGAAAAATAATAGAATGATAAAAAAAAATCACGACGTTTCCCAAAGAATATCCATTCCTGCAGTCACGAAAGCTTTAAGTCAAGATTTAACCGCCTGTACGGGGAGGGTTTCCACACAACCATTAGAACTTTTAACAGACTCCGAGACAAGAAGACTCATCTGATCGAGTCGCTCACTTCTCTGAAGAGATGCCGCGACACCAAGGTAATACCGATCGCCTTTATTTTTGTTTGCATTCAGACCACAAGTATCGTGGTTAATGCAGACATAATTAGCCGAGGCATTTCTTGCTCTGCGATCTTACATTTACTTGCAAATTGTATTTCCTTTGGCTGCAGTAGCTCTCTCGCTGTATTTCTTCCTGCCTCAGCAGTCCGCCTGCTGTATTTTTTCACCTGAAGACGATTGCTCGTGTTGCGATCAAAACGTCGTGATTTTTTTAATCATTTTATTATTTTTCTATCTGCGTGACTTTACCGAAAGACCCAAAGAATATGAAACTAACATTTTAAGCCAAGGTGTAGAATCCACATAGTGCTGTACAACTAACCGTGTCCACTAGCACATTGAGTGCATGTGGTGTTGATGCCTTATAATTTTACTATCATAAAACAATTATAAAAATTGGCCTGCAGCACAAATGTGACGTGAGACCTGTTTTTTTTTCATGAAAACAAATGCAGTAGTGCCAAAGTGGCACACTGCACTGTGAACTTTCTGACCTCACTTGCATTCCTAGCCGCAGCTCACATCAGTGGCGAGTGGCATAAGAATTGGCGCTGGCCCTGAACATTAGTGAAATATGGCCAAACAACCTTGATTGGCACATTTCTGGAGATAATATGTAACTATACGTTTAAATAAAACGCTTATAACAACTAAATATAGCCATTCCTTACAAACATTTTGTACAATTGTGTATGCGAGTTCCATGATAATAACTGATGAGAAAATATAACACTGACATCATGTGATGAGCATGTGGGTGGTGATTTTTTTTTTCAAACAACAGATGCACTGTTGTACCATACTGCGTGCACATGTTTTCAATAAATGCCTGCTGAAGTAGCAAAAATGTGGAATTTAAATGAAGAACAGCATTACGCGGTACATGTTTCAGTGGTAGATTTGGCATCAAAATGCTGAGCAAGCACTTCAGTTCTGGCTTGACCACCTGAATGTGAAATTGTAGTTGTTCTGCATCTACATCAGCCGTACGAAAGAAGAAGTTCGCCTATCATTGACGTGGTTGTATGGTAATGGATGGTTAAGTTTGCATCTTTAAAGAATTGGCGCGATAGAATCACTATTTAAAAAACAAACCGTCTTTCAATGCCCTCCCCAGTTTTCTGATTGTATTAGTTACTTGATTCCAATGTAAATCGAAGTGTTTGGTAGCGATATGGGGAGTGTGGTGGCATGAGGGCATATGGTAATTCCTGCATTACAACTTAAACAGAAATAAAAGATGCCAAATCCTCTGATGGTAACCAATGCGAGCTTTCCGTAATCTGCTTTGCAAAGTTCAAAAAATGCTGCAGACGTGCGTGCGTGCGCACTTGTGGAGACTTTGTTGGTGCCAGACCTTTCACTCGGAATATTGCTTCTGCTGTGCAGCCAATTCAAATACAACATGTCACAGTGATGTGAACGTTTTGTCCGATAAAACATACACGTGCAGTTAGACCACTGTAAACATTTTTATTTTTTTTATTTTGTAAAAAAAATGTTAGTAATCTTGAATAATAAAAAATGGGTAGCTTAACAAAAATACTATAATCACACTGTGTTTAGTTCACAAAATAGTTTTTCTTGTTATCTCAGAGCCAGCCGTTATACTTAAGTTTTAGTTAAGAACAGTTTTGTTTGTTTTTATGCAAACAAATCGATAAAAGTATGTAGTTTAGACTTTAGTCTTATCAGAATTTGCAGCCATTGGTTGCCGAGTTCAATGAACTGAAGTAATGCAGTTTTGTTTATGATTTTTAAAAAACTAATCTTTAGCAAAACAGAAATCACCCCTGAGGCTTGAATATGATTAGAAAAGTACAACGTGTAAGTAACACTCTTGTCTGCTAGTATTTCTGTTGACTTTAAAAGTTATTTAACTCTGCACATGAAGTCAAAACCGGACGCAAAAATACTTTACGTGGTTTGTGTTTTTTTGCTTTGTTTTCCACTGTGCATTTAAGGGGACAAATCTGACGGGGTCCCTGTGTTGTGGTCTTGGCCTCAAAGTAATCTTGATTATGTGGTCTAAGTTGTAAGTCGTGTACCAAAAATCACTTTTATCCTAAATGCCAAATACCTTGACTAAGTATTCTCAAAATGTGAATGTAAAGCCAAATAATAATTTTTAATCTACTTTTACAATAAATAAACTGAGAAGTCACACACTACGTCTCCAATTAGTCTCTGCTTCCCCCTGTCTCTGTATGTATCTGTCTCTTTGTCTCTGTTGCTCCCTCTGACTATCTCTGTCTTCATCTCTTTCTGCCTCTCATCATCGCCCTTTGTCTCTCTGTTTATAGCTCCCTGATTTTTCCCTCAGTTCTTGTGATTCTTCTTGTCGGTCTTGCTGTCTCTCGCACGCTGTCTCTCGCTTTCTCTCTACCCCCCCCCCGCCTCTCATCTCTCTTTTTCTTTCTGTCTGCCCATCAACCTGCGCTTGTAATGCTGCTGCTGTTGCAGCTTCCGTACCCTCCGCTCAACTCTTCTTCCTGCCCAACCCCCACCGTTATGGCGGTGGTCATGTGGCTTTGACCTGCGGTGCTCAAATACCGCTTGGCATTTTTCTTGTACATATTTGGCCATAATTCAAAGGTGTAGTGAACATGCAACCTAGGTCACCCTTGAAAAAGAGGCAATGCTTTTTCTTGTCGCTCAGTGTTAATTTCATCTCCTGGTTACATAAATGAAACAACGCCAGCATTTGTTGCACCCCCTGGTAAGTTGTAGTGGGAAGACAATTGTGATAGGATGTGGTGGGTGCCTCACAACCTTGTTATGTTGTGCATGTTGACTTAATAGGTGCTGCCTAACATAATCTATTGCAGGTATGTATGCGTGTGATTTGTATTGTGTTTTCCACCGTGGTGGAAAACACAATACAAATAACAATTTAAAGGCCCGGGTAAAGCTATATGGCCAGGAGTCTGAGCCATTCCCTGTTCACCTTGGGATGCGACAGAGATGTCCTCTGGCTCCCACATTGTTTAACATCATCTTTGACCACGTAGTTCGAGAAGCTTTCCATGGCTGTACCGGAGGAATTTCTATCCGGTACAGATACAACGGGAGGCTGATCAGTGCCCGGGTGCGGTCGAGGGATGGCTCTCTATTGGTCAGCCATGTTATGTATGCTGATGATCTGGTGATTGCTGCTCACTCAGAGGAGTAGGAGGCGCTGCTGCTGAACCTGGAGTGTGCCACTAAGAGGTGGGATCTTACCATCAGCCCCATCAAAACTAAGCACCTGCCCGGGGAATTTGTGCCACCAAACACTCTACCCCCTCAGCTCCCCATTGGTGATGGAGCGGTTGTGGAGAGAGTGGAGAGTTTCCCATACCTGGGCAGTGTGCTTATGACTAGCTCCGGTTTGACAGCAGAGGTCTCACTCCGAATCAGCTGGGTGGCATTATCTTTTCATTGGCTGCCCAATTCTGTGTGGAAATTACCTGGTCTGTTGCTCCGCATGAATCTTCGGGTCTTCTCGGTCACTGCCATGCCTTCCCTTTATGCTTGTGAAACGTGGACCCTTCTTATGGAACATCTGCGCCGGTTAGAAACATTCAGGCTGGCATGTCTACGATGCATCCTGGGTTTAACCAGGCTGAATTGTGGGAGGAGCTCACAAATCCTTGAAAGATCTAGACACATTCCCGTCAGTGAGCTCCTCTGGCAGGCGTTGGCTGGGTCACGTAGCCCGCATGTCCAGCCACCGCATGCCCAAGCAGCTTCTGTTTGACTGCATAGTGGGGGCTAAACGGGCACAACATGTGCTGGAGAAGAGATAGACTAATACAATACGGGAGGATATGGAGCTGAGTGGACCTGCCGACGACTGGTACCAGCGGTGTCAAGATTGACCTCTATGGAAGAGGCCTGTGAAGGACGCTACTCTTTTCTCTCCACCTGAAGAAGACCGCTTGTGTTGCGAGCGAAACGTCGTGGGTTTTTTGAATTTTGTTTTCTCTCTACGTGACTTTACCGAAAGAACCAAGACTATATATACTACTGGGCAGTTGGAAACAGTCGCCCTCCAGCAACAACGGAGGGCAGAGGAGTGATGCTCACAACAATGGACGGAGCGCCGGGCAACTAAAATTCAGCAAGTTGGCACAGTAGGGGGGTACATCTGGTGCATCTACCAGTCATCTCAGTCAGGCAACCCATGGCACCTGCTGGATCTGTCCCGAGACCTCCTGTCAGCGAGCCTTCGACACTTCACGTGGCCTCGAAGTGCACCTGGCCTGGCACAGGCGCCATGGTGACGTCACCGTCACTTAGTGGCGAATAGCGGGTATTGGTATTTGTATTGGTATTGTGAGCACCTAGTGCTGATCTATTGCCGGTCTTCATGGTTCATACCTCTCGCTTCAGCAGCCCAAACAAGCTAACAAGTGAATCTTTTGACAATGTGTCATTTGCAGGTGACTGGTGGATCTAGTGGCATTGGGAAAGCCATCGCCATCGAGTGTGTCCGACAGGGAGCCTGTGTTACTCTGGTGGCCAGGAACGAGGTGAAAACCCACACCCGATGTTGTCAGTTGTCGTTGATCCTCAGCTTGATCGGTGACGTGGCCGATTCGAAGCGTGGTTGACGCTTTTTTCAAAAGGTTTGCGGATCAAGTCTGGCGACCGCCCCTGGTTTGTACTGGAAGTGTGTTAGTTTAACACGTAGGCTTTCGTGATCATAAATGTTGTGGATTTGCTCTCAAACACACCGGTGTGCTGTACTAGTAACGAATTGGCATTCTCTGTTTTACATGACAAACCTTACTAATTGGCTGTGTCGGGTGGTGGCGGGTTTCACGACACATTTTTATTAACGAGATCCAACCCAAAAAAAATCTGTGTGTAAAGTCATATCTGTCTCACAATGGAATGTAAAAGTGCCGTGACGTTATTTGAAAAAGAGTGGACCGTGTGGGCCTCCAGTCATGGTCCACAGAACGTTTTGATTAATTACTCACAAATTGCTTCATTGTGACAAACCACGTAGCAACATTGCCATCTTCTGCCAGATTTCATGCTCATTTGCAGGCTATTTCTGTGCACACCTTATGTCACACAGGGACAGTTGCCACTTGGTTTGGGGGGAGGGGATCCCCTTGGTTAGACTGCAGATGGCCATTAAAATTGTTGAAATAAGATGTGGTTTAATGCACATTGAGTTGCTGAGGCATTTAAACACCATATCAATGTAAATCCTTAAATTAATATCAGTACTGCTTGGTTTACAGCCCTTGATGTACACATTAGGGTTGTTAATCGACAACTGGTAAACCTTCTTTGGTTCTTTCGGTAAAGTCACGTAGAATGAAAAGAAAATAATAAAGAACCAAAGAAGATGAATCCTTGCAGTCACGAAAGCTTTAAATCGAAACTGGTAAACCGGTAACCGTTTTAAAAAAACAGTTACTGGTTCAGAAAAGTCGAGAACCATTCGGAGCAGAATGTTAGTAACAATGCACCGTACATACGGCACTGTGGCAAGCCTAAATCACCGCATGGCATATTTTCCCTCGTTTCTCCGTTATAAAGATGTATGATGTGAAGTGTATTGCTTTACACGTTCAGCGGCTACCAGTTACACAAAAAAACTTTAATGAGTCATGTGCGTGACAACGTTCTCTTACTTTTTCTGCAGGCGAAGCTTCTGCAGGCGAAGAGGGAGGCTGAAGAGCACGTTGTAAATGAAAGCCAGGTATGAGGTGTTCCTAAAGAATATAATATTGAAAGTTGCAATGGTTTAATAGTTTATTTATATTTTAAATTTGGTTAAAGAGTTGTGCTAGTATGATGAACTTATTTTGTACCGTACTTAGAAAACCGTGCTATTAGGAGGTGGGGGGGGGGGAAGAACAACAAACTAAACAAAAAAAGCAGCTCTAAATAAATATTAGTGCAGTGAATCAATGTTTTCTGGTATAATATTCTGTACATACTTGTCTAATACAGATGTTGTGTGTTTGTGGTTTTTAAACGTTAAGGCAGTGCTGTGCATCTCGGTTGATGTGTCAAATGACTTCAACCAAGTTGAAAGTGTTATTAAACAGGTGAGTTGTGGTCACATTCTGACATAAATTAGCACACGTGCTGAGATTACAACGCGTTGTAACATGACTGACTAATGTTGAGCACATAAGGCGTGTGTTATACTTGCTTAAATCGATCCAGTATATGTACATTGGACTCATCGACATAATTATGATAACGTGATATAATAACCAGAGACTTACATTGAACCCAATAGCTAACATAGATCCCACTGACTTGTATAGGGGCCAGAATTGCCCATTAAACCCATAGACTTACATAGAACCTACATACATTATTAATGGATCCGTGGGCTAACGTGGGCCCGCACGAATATAGCCTTACAGACTTAAGTTGGCCAATGTTTTTTGTTGGACTGCATTACATCGCTTTGGCATCGTAGGTTACTGAAGTATCGTGTGTGAAAAAAACATATAGTGTTTGACCATGGTACGCTATACCAGGCGTGCTGTGTTTTTTTAATGCTCTTGGAATCCAGGCTCAAGAGAAACTTGGGCCGGTGGACATGCTCGTCAATGCTGCCGGCACTTCAGTCGCCGGACGCTTTGAAGACATCAAACCTCAGGAGTTCAAGGTTCGCAGCAAAAAGGCAGAATAGCCGAAGGCCTATTTCAGGTCAATATTGGGACACACGTTGTGTCATGTCTATATCTTTATCATGTTTACTGCATTTGGGGATGATGCCAAGGTGTAATGGTTAGCGCACTGGACTAGCAGTCTTTGAGATCGCCGATTTCATTTCACAGCGTAGTTGAAACAATGATGGTGAGATGTTAACTACCTCGCCTGGTGTACAGGAGGTCGTGGGTTTGATCCCGGCCCAGACGCCCGTATATTTGGTGTTTTGCATGTTCTCCCCGTGGTCGTGTGGATCTCTTCATTTAGAAACATGCGTTTAGAGCAGTGGTTCTTAAGCTGGGTTCGATCGAACCCCAGGGGTTCGTTGAGTCACTCTCCGGGGTTCGGCAGGGGTCAAGACACACACAGTGTAGCGGCCCGGGTCGCACCGGTGATGTCGGGCTGGTTTTGCCGGCCGTCAAAAAATTGGCAACACGCAATTTTTCTTCGCCGTGTTAGATTACAAATATTTAGTTGCTTAGTGAAAATGTGTTACACAAAATAAATTCAGCCCACTTGTATTATTCGTGACGTCACGCTCCGCTTGGCCATCATTGGCTGCAGCTGATCACGCCACATTGCGTGATCAGGAACTTGGTGCGCTCAGTAGTCGACTAGTGGCTGTTGTGATTGTACGTCATTTGTGATTTTCTTTTAATCTTTCAATCCCTTCATACTAACTATGTCGAGCAAAAAAAGAAAGTGGTTGGACGAATACGTACAATATGTATTCACGTGTATAAAGGAACGTGATGGGAGTCGGCGTCCTCAATGCATGATTTGCAATGCCAAGTTGAGCAATTCTAGTCTAGCACCGGCAAAACTAAAGGAACACTTCCTAAAGCTGCATGGAGATGGGAAATACAAGAACACAACGCTCGCTGAATTCAAGGTGAAGAACACCAGATTCGATGAAAAGGCTACTCTGCCTGTTCTCGGCTTTGTACCCATCGACAAACCGATCCTCACAGCATCGCGTACGAAGGTGCGTACCTGATCGCAAAGCAGGGCAAACCACACACCATTGGTGAAACACTCGTAAAACCAACTGCATTGAAGATGGCGAATATCATGCTGGGAAAAGCTGCTGAAGATAAGTTATCCCAAATTCCTCTTTCAAATGACACTATCAGCAGCAGAATAGACGACATGAGCGATGTCGCCCAGCAAAATTCAGCCTCCAACTCGACGAGATCACCGACGTTTCCAATCTAAGCCAGCTTGTTGTATTCGTGCGCTATATGAAAGATGACGTGATAAAGGAAGATTTTTTTTTATTTTGTAAGCCTCTTACAGCAACAACCAAGGCCGTCGATGTGAAGAAACTCGTGGATGACTTCTTCAGAGACAACGATCTTTCGTGGAATATAGTTTCTGCAGTTTGTACGGACGGAGCTCCAGCCACGCTGGGACGACACTCTGGTTTTGGAGCGCTGGTGAAATCCGATGCACCACATCATTGTCACGCACTGTGTTCTGCACAGGCATGCGTTGGCAACAAAAACCTTTCCTCCAAAACTGGCAGAAGTATAAAAAATTGTAGTTGAATGTGTGAACTACGTGCGAAATAGTGCTATGAAGCACTGCATCTTCAAAGAGCTGTGTAAGGAAATGGGCTCTGAATTCGAAGTGCTTTTGTACCATTCTAAAGTTCGGTGGTTATCTCGGGGAAAGGTGCTGAATCGTGTTTTTGCCATGTGTGTGGATTTAGCCCTGTTTTTGCGAGAGTACCAACATTGTCACGCAGATTGCTTCGAAAATTCTGAATTCATTCTCATTTTAGTGTACATGGTCGATATTTTCGATGCTCTCAATCATCTCAATCGACAAATGCAGGGTGGTGGAGTCAACATCATCGAAGCGGAAGAAAACTTGAAGGCATTTACAAAAAGCTACCTTTATGGAAACGACGAACAGAGAATGATAACTTCGCAAACTTTCCCCTGCTGGACGACTGTGTAAGTAAGGTCGAAGATGTGTCTGGAATTGGAGACATTTCTGTACCTGGGGAGCTGAAGCAAGCAATTGCCATGCACTTAGATGAGCTCGCAAAGTCTCTTGACGGATACTTCCCCACCAGAGAGTCATATCCAGCATGGGTGAGACAGCCGTTCACGTTTAGTGTTGCGACAGCAGATGCCAACGATGAATACCTCGAGGAAATCATTGAACTTCAGCAGAGCCAGCTTCAACAGCAACTCTTCAGAACAACAACGCTCTCAACGTTTTGGTGTCACCAAATCGTACCATACCCTCTTAATGCTAAGAAAGCCCTTGAGATACTCGCACCGTTTGTTACAACGTATATTTGCGAGCAATCTTTTTCGAGGATGGTAGACATAAAAACTAAGAAAAGGAACAGACTTTGTTGCGAAAATGATATGAGAGTGGCACTTGCCAAGGTGAAGCCGCGCATTTCTGAACTTGTATCTGAAAGGCAACAGCATAAGTCACATTGATTTGCAGTAAATATTCATTGAGTTATGTTTTTGTGTGAATTTCATGTTTTGTTGGTTTTGTTCTTTGAACACAGTGATTGTGTGCAACTGATGCATGGCTCATTTTGTGCACTAATAAAATATATACCTATGTTTTGAAGAAATCATATTTTATTTTTCCAATTACGAAGGTTTCGGTGAATGTGCTGATGAAGCTTGCAGGGTTCAGTACCTCCAATAAGGTTAAGAACCACTGGTTTAGAGTATTTGGCTGATATAATTTCCACATGATGAGCCATTTCTTTGAGCTATCATTTGTGGCCAGGTCGCTTCTGAAAAGGAGCTAATTGCTCCGTGGGCATTACCTGGTAAAATAAAAAAATTGTTTAGTTTGTATTGCTGTCTCAAGATTTGGGGTGCCCCCCCCCCTCCATCCTCGTCTACGCTGCAGACTAAGCTCACAAGCATGATCAGAGTAGTAATGGGCAAGTTTCTTATTCGCCCTGCCTCATATCTACCCAGGAATACAAATGGGTACACCGTAGATGATTGGCAAGGTGTGCGTGGTGAGCCAAAGTGTTGGTGCAACTTCTTCAAAGATGTTTGGCCAGCGTGGATGTGTAGACCCTCAACAGGAGCTCTCTTGAGGGTAAAGGGTGGTGGCGCACGGCTGTAATCCAGCGCTGTGGGGACAGTGAGGGTTGTGGATCACAAATGTTTTGAAACGCCCTTCCCGTGGGCATCAATGTGCCGCATTACAGCAAAATGTGGACCAATCTCCATCTGTTCCACCTGTATGTGACAGTGTTGTCTTTTCGCATGTGTTGGGTTTTCCCCGGCAGCTCGGGTTTCCTCCCACGTGTAAACAATCAATTATTGATTGGCTTAACACATCTCACTATATAGAGTACCACATAGTTTGGGGCAGTTGTTGGCGTTGGCTAACTGCCTGGCTACCTTCCCGCTTGTCTGTGGTTCCTCGTGTTCCTGATTCATTCTATCTCGTCCAGAGCGAGTGAAAACTGCACTTTACAACTTGAAATTCTTCTCATTGTTAGTGGAGGCACTCTTCTGCCAGCAGTGGCATGAACACCTAATTGCAGAGCTGCAACCTTTTACCCTTTTATTGATGTGTGTGTCTAAACGTTTGTCTCTGTATAGATTCACGTGCGGTCTGAATCGTGCAGCAGTGAGTGTTGTGTGTTTTACACCCTTCCGCATGCACCTGTTTGTCTGCCTGCCTGGATTAGCGGCTGATGGAGGTGAACTACCTGGGCAGCGTGTTCACCAGCCTGGCGGTGGTGCCGGGCATGAAGGAGCGGCGGAAGGGCCGTGTGGTGTACGTGTCCTCGCAGGCTGGTCAGCTGGGCCTCTACGGCTTCACGGCGTACTCACCGACCAAGTTTGCCCTCCGCGGTCTGGCCGAGGCCCTGCAGATGGAGGTGTGCGTGATTTTGGCGGCATTGGTGGCCTTCAGTTTGAGCGAGGGATCACCTTCGTTAACATTTAGGCTGACCGTACATATTACTTCAATTAAGCTCGATGTTGACAAAGGAGAATACCCTGTTAAGCAATTGTGGGGCGCCGCAGTGGTGAGATGTTATCTGTCTCACCTGGTTCGATCCTGACCCTGACGCCTGTATATTTGGAATTTGCACGTTCTCCCTGTGGTCGCGTGGATTTTTATCCAGGTCCTCCGGTTTTCCCCTGCACATTTAGAAATATGCGTTTAGAGTATTTGGCTGGTATAAATGTCCACGTGATAAGCCACTTCGTTGAGCTATCATTTGTGGCCAGGTCGCTTCTGAAAAAGAACTAAATAGCTGAGTGGACTTTACCTAATAAATAAAATAGTTTATAGATATATAGTTTAAGAGAATATTTTTAGATTTCAAAATGAGCAACATGAGGAATGTAGCCTGTACACTTAGAAAGGAAAAGCCTTTGAGCGGTAAAATAATCAAGGGTAGGAATATTCCATGCACTGACTTCATATGCCTGTGGATTAAGAATATCCTGATTATGTATTTCTGCAGTTTCCCTACATCAGTTGTTACTGTTATTTTTTGTTCACTGGAATTTAAAGGAAATTAATTTGCATTACTTAGCGAGCAGAGCAAACCATATCCATGAGTTTGTAACATATCTGGTTTTCACTATTTCTTGTTGTATTCGTTCCACATTCTTTAAAACAAAGCTTCACATAATTTCTGCAAAGAATGCCCGCACCAATGTGAAATGCACAGCTGTGAATAAGGGTCATCGGGTGGATCAAATTTTTGGTCAAGAAAAATGTCGCGCAATTGAATATGAGCCCTGAAGTTGGAGCCAGGCCATAATGTCTGAGTGCTCGCAGCTGTAATTTCCTTAAAGAATTCTGCTTTTTAATTCATAGCAGTTTGATGCATTGGAGAAGTGTGTAGAGTGCATTTCTCTCATTTTTATTTAAAACCTCCCCCCCCCCCTCCATGAAAACAGTAAGATTTTCATTCTTAAACATAATAAGTAATATTAAAAAATACTACTTTAAAACACGCTTTAATGAAATGTACCGTACTCGTAATGGCAGAACTCCACGACTCCAGGAAGTGGCCCTTGCCACAACGTAAGGGGGCCGTGGGCAATTACAGCCAACATCAGTTGAGCGTGAACAATTAGACCCAAGCCGAAACATTACGTATAAAAAAGAATGTTTAAAAATATTGTTTTTCTTGGTATATGTGATAACATGTGGTCAATCCTTTTGCTCTTGGTCGTTCCTGAGCATGTCCAGCGAGCAGATTCAGCAATGAAATCAGCTCATGTGCAGGTGCTTGGGCAGCTTGTTACATCGCAAAACCATGAGGGATGGCGAAGACTTGGGGAACTCTTCATCCAGCAGCGGGTCGATCATGGCTGACAAGAACAATAATGACCGGGAATCTTCATTGTGATTTGTTCGTCATGTGCATCACCTTGCGTGCACGTTATAATGGTCCACCAAGCCCCCCAGGGGTCCTGCGATTCAAAATCCAGAGACACTCTTGGGTCAAGTGGCCCGTGGTGGCAGTGGCTGCATTCTGTGATGTTTGTTGTTTGCCTCCAGGTTAAGCCATACAATGTGTACGTGACACTGGCCTTTCCACCAGACACGGACACCCCTGGCTTTCATGAGGAAATCAAGGACAAGGTGGGATTTCCACAGCAACCATACATAACAGGACAGTCCTTGGCCCCTGGTGAATAATAAACAATAATAATCGGTTTGAAACGTTCACTCTCCTTGTTCATGTTTTGCTCTATTTTTGTTTGATTTTGGAAAACCGTAGCTTAGGAATCATTTATGCGTATTGCAAACACATTCCTGCGGAGGGAGCTTGTAGGAACGTTGGGTTGCTCGGTCAATGGCCAGGGTCAACGGCGGCACCACGTGGTGTATTCCGCAAATATGCCCGACTGTGAGGGCGGGCACAAGCCGGCGTGAGTAGGTTAAACGTTGAGTTTTATAAGGGCACCACGGGGTGACCAGCCCCTCCCCACCCAGCCCCACCCCTCCCACCCCCCACCCAGCCCCACCCTCCCCAGCCAGCCCCTCCCCACCCTCCCCACCTAGCCCCTCCCCACCCAGCCCCTCCCCACCCAGCCCCTCCCCACCCTCCCCACCTAGCCCCTCCCCACCCAGCCCCTCCCCACCCAGCCCCTCCCTCCCCACCCAGCCCCTCCCCAACCTCCCCTCCCCAACCAGCCCTTCCCTCCCCACCCTCCCCTCTCCACCCAGCCCCACCCCTCCCATTTTTGGATGCAGGACGGACGGACACAATAATCCCCAGTGGGCTGGTGTAACCAGGAGGTTCCTACCAGTATAACATTTAACAATCTGCTCTCTGCTATTTTGCTTCCTGCAGCCACTGGAGACGAAGCTGATATCAGAGACCGCCGGCCTCTACCAACCAGAATTTGTTGCAAAGGTCATAGTAAAGGATGCTGTGGTAAGCCGTAACCTGCACTTGATCCTAAGCACCAAAGCATGTTCAACAGATTGAATGAACTAAGACGATGTTATCCGTAATGGAGGTTTTTTTTGGGGTTAGATCGCATTAATATCAATGCGTTTTTAAACCCGCCACCACCCGGCACAGCCAATTAGTAAGGTTTGTCACGTAAACAAAACATGACAATTAGTTACGAGTTCAGCACACTAGTGTGTTGGGAGAGTAAACTCACAACATTTACAATTCGAGTACGACGTTTTGCCAGTAAGTACAGCCACCCTCATCAGGTGACAGCCATAATTGTGGAGAAATCCTCCTGTATCGGTCTTTAATAGAGGGGCTACATGGGATGTAGTCACTGTGAGCCAACCAGGTGCGACGACCAGAAGGGGGTGTTAATTAGTCATATAAAGTACAATGGACATATATATTACTAGTTTGGTTATTCACAGTTAACATACATAAGAAGACTATGTTCGCTAACATGCCTTGGTACCACCTATCTCATGGTAGCTTAGCCCCAGAATGCTAATATATATGTTATTCAACTAGTTCCTTAACTAGATAATATATATTTTTTATTTGATTATTTATTCTAATTCAGTTAAATGTTGTGGGAGAACTTGACAGTGCACTTTGTAACGTTTCTGCTGTTTGTTAGTCCCATTTAAAGTCATCCTCCGTGAATTGTTGTTGCTTCATTGTCCTGCGTAAAACTGTGGGAATGCTTTTCTAGAGTTCAGAAGCATGAATATGCGATCTCCTCTGTGGAGCATTTTCCCTTAAAAGAGCCTTAACGCTGACAGCTGTAATTTCAGTGATTGTAATAACAGATCTAATCCACCTCGCATACACACTCACAAACACGTGCATATGTACACATACACGCCAACGAATGGTTCTGGGTCTGTGGGGATGAATGCAATTGGCAGAAAAGGGCACATGACTCATTCCCGTATTGAATTGCAGGCGATCGGTTGAATGTTGTAAATGTTTGTTTTGTAGTAAAGCAATATTTGATGCATTCTATAGCTAAAGATGAGAGAGAAACATTTTAATCAATCGTATTTTTTTAAATCGTATTTCAGGTTGCAGTTTCATGGCTTAGTCGTTATTACCTGCTGACCTAAAGAATGTGCTGTTTATGCACAACGTTTTGGTTCCTTTTTGCAAAGTTTCACTTGTGCATTAGTAAAGCCTTTCATTCAGGGGTAAGCTCGGTGCAATGGGTACTTTTCTAGCCCGAGAACAAATATGTTATTACAGGCATTGTGGGCTGTAACATTTCCAACCAGAATCGGCTGATATGGGGGTGAAAATCATCCGTTGTTTGATTTTACACCTTTGTGTCGTCGCCATTAAAATTTGTGTGAATGGGGCTAAGTACAATAATGGTAGGCCTAAATCTAGAAATGGTAGGCCTCTCACGGTGATTCATCTTCCCTGGCAAGAGTTTGTCTATTGAATCTCACACCTCATCATTTGACACGTTGGTGCTTGCTTTTTTTTTCATTATTTCAGCTCGGAAACTTTAACAGTTCTGTGGGCTCCGATGGCTACATGCTTTGCTCCCTTACGTCCGGAATGTCCCCCGTCACCAGCATCACCGAGGGCCTTCAGCAGGTGCACACCCAACCACCCACAGGCTCAAATATCCTCTTGTTCGTTGCTGAAATATCGGTGCAGATTTCTATGAATGGGTAATGGTGAGCACACTGGCCCGGCTGGGCAGAGGTCAATAGTTAACTTTGATCTCCTGGCTTGTCAGTGGACACAATGAGCAAGTTTATTCATTCCCACTGCCTCAGTCCACCCTCAGTATGGGTCCTCCCATCAGCAGGTCATTAAAGATGTCTGACCAGTGTGGAAGAGTAGGCCAATTACCCTCTCGAGGTCCCTACAGTGGAAGTCCTTGCGTCAGCAGTGACATAAACAAGCAATTGCATATTACATGTATGGCCTCTTGTCAATCTACTGCCAGATGAGGGCCTTGTAACAGTTCATTAACCGTACTTCACCACATTGGTCAGTGTGAGTTGGTGAAGATGGGGGGGGGGGGGGTTGAATAGACGTTGGAACATAGTACAATTCAATATATTTTTCTACACTGCTATTGGTACAAATATAACTATTTCAAGATGCTATACACACAGGAGAACTTGCGTATTATAAAGAGTAATAAGAATTGTATTTGAAGGTTGAGGTTTAGGGACAGGATGTTATGGGAGAATAGAAAAAAACACCTCTCCACTCAGCCTCAATATGCCTTTGCTTTTTGTGTGTGTGGCTGTTGTTGAAGCTACACACAAAGGCAAAAAGGCAATGAGTGTGAGCCCAGCATTGCACAGTGTCAGCAATCACATTGGCGTAGGACCGTGACCTTGCTCTGATATTACCTTTTGAAATGTTGACATGAAAAGCAATTTCTGACGTGGCTTTGTTTGTTCTGTTTTGAGGATGCGAGCTGATTCAGCCTTCCCACGATGTTTTCTGCGATTAGTCCATTGGTTCACAGGGAATTGCATTGACATGAGTGGCAGATTAATTGATTTAACACAGGACACAAATTACTTCTTGCGTTTCCTTTACATTTGGCGGACAAGCTTAGACTACAATATATTATTTGTACAATTGTTTAAAACATTGGTGGTTTTGTACAGCTAGCTACTTTGGATATTTAAAAAAAAAAATCATTCGAATAATTTATTTATTTATTAGCATAGGCTTTTTAAAACCCATTAATCTTTAATCTGGTATCTGAATTCTGGAATACTGTGTAACACAGACCATTAAATTAACTCATGGGTCTCTGTTTATTATCAATTGCGCTGGATCCTATTAAATAAGAGTATCGACGTTGCAGTATTGTTGTAGGCGAAAATTTCAGAGGGAGTGTAGTTTTAACAATTGGGAAATATATATATTCTGGTTGGACCATGATGGCATTTGTAAGGATATACAGAGAAATGTGGATTTAATAAAAGAGTCATCCAAACAGTAATTGACTCTTTTTTTTTTCTAATCGGCTGCCCCGAGTGCTGCAGCCTTATCCCATTGGCTTAACAGGCAACCTAGAAGTGTAGAGAAGCCCATCGCTGATTGCCTGCACTCGGCTTAATGGTCGTAATCCTTACGCCATGGAATAATTGACATATTTATATAGATGCCCGGTGGCGTCGACCTAGAGTAAATTCAATTCCAATTGTTGTTTTTTGATGCTGCATATAGACATTTAATGGTGGATGCTCTCCTGCCCTTGAGAGTTTCACTGTGTGCCTGCCGCCGGTAGCCCTCGGCACATCGCTCCCTCATGCCCTTTTACAGTCAATCATCTGTGGGTTTCGCGGCGTAGGTGGCAATTTGGTGCTCTGTTGATGCGAATGTGAGGGGTTTTTTTGTCCCTCACATTAAGCCAGAGGTTGTTGAAGGCTTGATTTATGGAATTAAAAGAAGTGCATGTTTCTGCAGGCTCCATTAAAGCCGAATAAGCATGCGCATGTGGATTTCACTGCCACTTACGCTCTTTACACAAATATACACCGTGGGCTCTCACACGCAGAGTCGTCATGGGTAGGCCATTGTGCATCGGTGTAATTGTCACATTTTCAAATCTCATCACTTGGCTGCCCAGCCACCCAGTGAATATGATGAAGTTATTACAACGATGGGTAATGATGATTGTGACGTGTCTGGCAGGTGGTGACCATGGGTCTCTTCCGGCTCATCTCCCTCTTCTACCTGTGCAGCTTCGACAGCATAGTTCGTCGCTGCATGATGAAGAGAGAAGGCTGCACCTCCCCAAAGACGGAGTGATTGCTGCCTTCACACGGACGTACGGTCCAGACTCCTACCCTAGGGGATTGTGCGGTGCCCAACTCCCAGTTCCCAACTGCGTTATCTGCTACTGTTTTGATAATTGGTCTCAGGTATGTGTACGAAGAGGAACACCTGCAGAATGCCATAGAGTAGTGCAGGACATGTGCACGCACGTGAGATCCACGTGCGTGCATTGGCGCAGGACCAATGCAAATGCTGGAGCAATGTATGAACATCTTTACACGTGACAAAAAGTATCCTGCCTGGTAACCTGTCCACTTTAATATCACGGCTTAACAGTGACAACTGATTGTCAACGCTTTAAAGTTTATTCATTTGGAACATTGCGTCCTTGTAGACCTCGCAAGTGAAACAAGAATAAATGACAAACAACATGGATTAGCATGTTTTGCATTGACGGGCAAGGATGTCAGAAATTTTGTATGTACAATGTGTTTTTCCATTACACGAAGGAGAAAAGCTCAGATTTTAGGGGTAATGAGTCTGCATTATATGTTGTTGTGTACATGCAAGTGAAATTTTGAAATATTGAAAGCAATAAAGCGCCAATTTTTTGTTGTTGCTATTTTATTATTGTTGCACCAACAAATGCACACAAACTTATCCAAAAAATGTTTTGTATTTTCTCGTCAGGTTTGTGACTGATATTAAGAACGTTGTTTTCTATTAAGCATACAGAGGGAAAAAAGACTTTGTCATTTTGATTTGCACAACTGCCCTCTTTGTGTTATTACACAGTAGGGGCACCACTTTTCCACCCACCTTGCTACAGAGAGTAATGTTTATTCTATGACAGTCAAATCCATATTTTTAATTCTGAGAGCTAGAATTTTGCCAAATTTGATGCAGAATCGCATCTAAATGTATTTGAGTTTTTTTGTGTGTGCAGTCATTGTTGACCAGACTGGGAGACTATTAGCTCACTGCGCTTAAGAACTCGGATTCATTAAGGGTCATAGCCCAGATTCCAACCCAGGATCTCCACAGTACTGGACCCTGAGCTATCTGGCCATCTCACTATGCCAATTCATTCTTGTCTGATGGCATCAAATAATACAAGCCCCAACATGAAAAATAAACAATGATTGTTTGCATAATTGAGTCGTTTCAACGGCTATGCACGTATCCCATCGTGGCAGTTCTTTATAAATGGGCAGTACTCTGTTCGTATTTGCGGAGTACAGATATACATCACAGTGCATGCAGTTACAGTAACTTGTTGTTGTGCTCTTCAGTGCATTTATGCATAATCGATTTAAATTTCCATATCGCTGTTTGCACTGCCAAGTTATAGTTGCACAGAGAGCAGCCTTGCCTTAATGAGGTATAGAAGGGCAGGAAAAAAACATTTATTCCCCTGTGACACACACGTTTGTAGCATTCTAATGAAAGGCCCGAGCAAAACTAAATCTAGCACGCCTGTGACACTCCCAAGTTGTCCACTTTAACTCTTTGGTCTCCATTTGCCTCTATACACATCTGAATCTGTGTAGTGACAGAATGTTATACTGGTAGGAACGAAGTTGTAAACTGAGTGTACCAGCCTGCAATAGATCAATGTGTCCGTCCGTCCGTCCCCTTTCAATACTTTAACGAAGTGAAATCTCGTGTTGGGTGTATAATTTGTCCGAAGAAGCCTCAACGATTTTGAGGGCAAAAAGGTGGGAAGACGCTCTCAATTTGCACAATTTAATGTAACAATGTCATAAAATTGCGCAAAATTCCAATGTTCCTACCAGCCCACCCTGCAGGGACCTGTTTTTGTCAAACTCTATGGACCATACAAGGGCAGCAGCAGCAGCACATGGTCAGTGGTTGACTCGGTAGACTGGGTTACTCAAAGTGCTGGGTACCCTAATGAGCTTCTGAGAGACGCAGAACATAACATGTCAGTGCTAGTGGAGTGTTCTGCAAATGTCAGCTAGCTTCAACCTCTTGCAGGCATTAAGACATTTGGCATACTCTTTATTTAAAAAAGGTGAATTTATTCAATTTACGCGCTTCCTCAGCATTGTCCAATCAGGCGTGTAGATTAATCACGTGTCTCGGATGCCTTGAGACTCCAGATTGCCTTGACAGATGGCAGAGCGTTCATGTTGCTGCATACTCGGCACTGAAAAACGTCTTCACTGAATTGCAAATGTGTTCATGAACAGATTATTTGTTTTTAATTTGAGACTTCATAGCTGTTGAGAGCAAATAGTGTAATTATTTTTTGCGTGTGCAAATGTATGGTTCTTATTACATGTGTATACGGTGTTGTTCTCGAATGTCATACACAAGTGAATAATGGACAATTTAGAGGCCAACCAACCATGTGAGCTAGCTGGATTTAGAACATGGTTTGTTTCACCATTCACCAGACATGCTGTCAGTATTATTCTTGAAATGACAAATACATATCATATAACACCACATATTTTTGTTTATATATATAAAAACTATGAAAAGGCAATTGATTGAGTATACTGAATCATCTTTAGCAACCAATAGAAATGAACTACATGAAATAATTTAAGAGCTTAACGAAGAAGGGTACATTTCAGGGCTAAAAATAAATGAGAAAAACAAAGGTCATGTCGAAGCTTTCTTACAAAAAAAGAAAAAAGCGTGGCCATCGCAGAGGTTCAGCAATAAGATCAGCTCGTGTGCAGGAGCGAGAGGCATTGTGAGACCGTTCCTTAGTGGCAAGGTCATGGGGAGACCTTCATACAGCTGTGGATAGAACGTGGATGACAGCATTTAAAAAAAAACATTTTAAACAGTAATTTAATTGTATTCTGCAGTGATTTCTTTCACTTCACGATATCCCGTGTTCTACAATAACTGCAAATTCCAATAAGGATTCGGTTCACAGTGGATGCATTTGTTTACATTGTTTGGGGTTTGATTCAGTTGGTTTGAGCAAATTAAAATATCCTAAAGCAATTTGGCCCACCCATCACAACACTGCGTTGTTGAAAATAGCTTGGCACGCTTGAAGGTGGCTTGGATTTGGCGAGGTCAATTATGGAAATCATTATTGCAAACACAAAATGCCATCCTGTTTAGCCAATCTAATTTCTGCTCATTAATGCTTCAATTTGAAACGATGCTGACAATTCAAGTTTATAATTGGTTTAATTTATACTGCTCTGCGTGAGCAGTGTAGTCAGCACCATTTCTTAATGTCTCCTGTTAGCGCGGTGATTCTAAACTCAAGTACTCGTACTCCACCCATTCACATGCAACCCATAAACAGTCGCCTGCAAAATGTATCCATAATATGTTTTTTGGATTAGAGCGCGTCAATATAAATGTGTCGTTAAACCCCCCACCCCCCGACAGCCAATTAGTAAGGGTTGTCACGTAAACAAAATATGCCAATTCGTTACGAGTACAGCACACCGGTGTGTTGGAGAGTAAACCCACAACATTTACAATCTTTGTGTTGATTTACTCTCTAGCAATTTACAATGTGGATTTGCCCTCCAAATCCACATTGTAAATTGCCTACGTGTTAAACTGCAGTATGTATTTTTGGTGTTAATTTCTTTGTTTAAAGTAATCCATTTCAATCGACGTAAGTTACCATTTTTTTTATTTAACAACGAATATACAGTAAAGATATATAGGGTAATCCATATATAGATAACCCCCCGATTTCAAATGGCTCAACAGATAAGTGGATTGAGATTTATGTGGGAGATATGTAAAGGCTTTGAAATAAAATTGTATTTTCTTTATAAGCTGCTCCCGAATACTTGAGGCGGAAATATACAAAATGGATCAGTATACAGAGATCATACGGGAAGTCCGTATCTCAAAGTAGAGGAACATTGGCATTTTTTTGGCTGTTGACATGGAAGGGTTCCTTTTGGACCAGTTTTTAGCTGTCAGCATTTATTTAAACATTTAAACTGGACTAGGTTTATTCAGATTTAAAGCGTTCGTGACTGCAGGGATTCATATTCTGGGTTATTTCGGTAAGGTAACGTAGAAGGGAAATAATAACTTTTCCCCCATTACTTTATTATTTCCCTTCTACGTGACTTTACCGAAAGAACCAAGAATCAGAAGGATTTGTTAAACAAAGTTCTGCAAAGGGACTCGTTCCAACAAAGAGCGTTTGAGAATAAATCTGGCGGCCAGTTAAATACAAAAAACGGCAAAACTGCATAAGTTAATTATCAAAAAATATTCATAACTACTCTGGTCAATTCTTTGGTAGAAATTGTATACCGATATTGCAAATACTGTGCTGTTCTAAGTCTCAGAATAACGAAGTAGGGTCAATTTGAAACGATGCTGACTTATCATCCAACAGTGGATTGACAAAAGGGCTGTTATTTACTTTATTATTTAATACCAATTATATTCTGCCATAACTGGACTCTTGTCAGGACCTGATCCCATGCGTGTTTACTTTCTCAATAAGATTGGAACCTACAAGTGGAGTTCTTATCTTGCCCTTCTTGACTTAATCCAAATACATTTACATAATTTGAGTGTACTATCGTAGTGAGTATTGATTGAGGTGGTGGAGAGACAAGTTAGTGTTGCTGTTTAATTACATCTGTACTTTTTATATAAATATTGTTTGACAGCATAACTGGGGTAGGCGAGCAGACCAATTGAATCGGACCAGCATTGTTAATACTAATACGGTATTGTGGACACTAATGGCTTTTTTACGTATTTCAACACAGGAAAACTCTACCTGAGTATTACTGTATTAAAATATATTTCCTTTAATTTAGCAATCTGCTGGGGGGTTTTTGTCTGAATTGTAATATTTGTGATTTGTTTGTTTTTTGATAGACGTGTTCCGCAAAGTGTTGGCTTGGCAACATAAATCTGGGCCACTTAAATGGCAGTCTTGCCCAAACTGCTAAATTGTGTTTGGATAAAGATAAGTACATGAAGACGGTTGCTTGTGTGGCGATCGAAACGTCGTGATATATTATGTTTTCTACCTACGTGACTTGACCGAAAGAACTAAAGAGTAAGCACATACCTGTCAACTCATACGGTTTACCCGTATTCTTGTCCAGGGAAATTGATTGTTCAGGTCCATACGGCGTACAGCCGTTTTAATACGGACAAAACATGTTTTTGTCTGTTTGTTTCTCACTTGTGATGGGACTTTGAAGGATGAACGGTGATATTTATAAGAGCACGGGGTGGCCAATAAAGTCTGAATTGGTCTGTAATAAGTTAGGCACTGGTAAGGGGTTGACAGGTATGTAAGCGCTAGATGAATTATGTATGGACGAGCAGATTCTATTGATTACAAAATATACGCTACATTGTAAAACAAAATCAATAATAATGTACAGTAGTTATAAATGTTCCAAAGATTGTCCAGAGCCACTTTTACTTTCCTATTAGCAATTTAGAGATGTCAAGTCCAACAAATCAAAAATTACAAAGGTTTTAAAGCATTTCATACATATAAGCCATCTTGTATTTTATATTCAGTTTCGTCATAAAACAAATATGGCTTTATAAGTGTAGGGAAACGCAGGAAGAAAATATAATAAAAGTACACTAGTTTTACTCAAAAACAAATGGATTTACAATATTAATTTATAAATACAAAAATATAACCATTCGTGTTTTCAGATATCAATAACCTAAGTGTAACATGGCACCAACCTGCATCGAGCAGGTGTGCAGGTTTACCAACAGGTTAAGTTGCCCCCACTTCTACACGTGGCTTTGGTTTTATCTTCACTTGCACTGCAATTTATAATGCAATTTGCGTGCACCCATTGAACAGTATGAGCGCAAATAGCTATTAAACATCTGCAAGCCCTGTCTGGACGGTTACACAATGTAATTGTGATCACTTTGTGCCTGTTTTCGTGTACTGGAATACCAGTCTCACTTAATAGGCGGCTAGTTTAGCTGACTGTATTGCATTTATCTCAACATATGCACTACCCTAGCACTCAGAATTACGAAAGACTGGGTTTTAAATGGTTTAACTTGCTTAAGCTTTGTGCAGAACCCTGTTCAGGTACGCATTAGCTAGATATGAGCATCTCAAAATTTAGCGTAGTTTAAACGTGACCCAAGAATTGTTAACATAGAATATGGTATTTCATTTTATCCTAGTTAGGCCATCACTGGTGTAATCCATTTGAAGTGCATATTAAATTCATTGAGGTATTGGCCACAGGATATTGTCAGCACAATGCAATTTATGTAAGTTAACATTTTTATTGTACCGTGTCAAATATTGCAATGCATTGACAATAAAAAGTACGCGCGTCTTACATTTTTAGGCTATTCTTTTAACATACAAATGCATCTCAGGCTTTGGCGTCCGTTTTCACTTTGCATTTCAAGTTTGCCACATCTGCAAATGCATTGAACTTTGTTCAAAAATTCAATAAAATACTAATAAAATAAGGTTAAACGCTTCATACAGTATATGAACACGATGACAAAGAAATGTAAAATTAGGTTTATTTATTTTTTACAACCATGCCTATGGAAATTGCAAAATTGTATTATGGAAATGCCGTCTCGACTCCTTAGACCAGCTTCAAAAAATTACAAGTAGCTTAATAGGCAGACACTGCAGAATAGCAAAAAAGCAAGTGACATGGTTTCAAATCCTTTCAATCAAAATATGTAACGTCCACTTATTGTCAGTCTTAACATTGAAACGTTGATCCTTCTGTTACGTCCCATTTGACAACAAGAGTTCATTTCAATGTTCACTGCAGAATACAAACGCACAGATGGTACAAATGTAAAGTTTACTTACTCGTTACATATCAATGAATGCTTAATTACTAAGGTTACCGAGCTGGTTAATGAAATACAATAGAAGACGGCAACAGGGCATGCTGAAGGATAATTGTTTTAAATAACCGAGCAGATTAACTGATCTGCTAAAACATTTTTACTTAATTTTCGTACATTTTGTTCCACTTGCCGTAATGTTAAGGAAACCGAGCTACAATATAGTACAAATGTACAAGTACTAGCTGGGGGTGGGGGGGGCGTTATCCAGACCCAAGGGATAAGGTTGTTCATGCGTGAATGTAAGCGATCAATGTTGCGATCTGTGTAAGAGTATGCAGAAACGATTTTATCAAATGTAATTCGAAAAATGAAGCGAAGTGTATAATCGCGACCTACAACGTTTCTCGTATACACTCCATCCTCTTCTGAACAAATACGGTCTTCAATCAATGCGGTGGCATTAGATCTTGATGTAACTTCTTGGCAATGCCACACGTAACTTTCCACAAGCAAGAATTGGCTTTGGCAAAGACAGTCCCAAATGATGAACGGACTGTCATTGCGCTTGGATGCTGTTTGCAAATACAACTTGAACAGGGAACTGTCTTCGGAGTTGGAACGGAAGACTGGATTCGTTGCCGATCACTGTAATGCGAAGAATGAAAACTCTTCCCATGAAGAGAGCCAGTCAGTCATCGCATCAATGCAAGTCTTGTCAATTGGTAGATTCAGTCTTTTCTCTCCACCTGAAGACCGCTTGTTTTTTGCTTTTAATTTTTGGTTTCTATCCACGTGACTTTACCGAAAGAACCAAGAACATAAGATTCAGTCTCGTTCCACTGCAAAGACATTGTTCTCCAGTTATTTTGAATCGACGATTGCTGCTACAACTTTCAAACATAGCTTGTGAAGGGGTATTCCAGTGTCAACGTAAACTCAGGAAGGTAAAGCGACTGCTGAACATTTTTTGTCCTGCACGATCATGTTTTTGTACTTGTAACGTTCTTACCCGCCCCTACAGGACATCTGTAAAAAAAGAGCTTAATAGCTCACCAGATTCTTCCATTATAAATATTCTTATGTACGTCACTCCAATGATGCCAAATTAACGTGATAATAAATCGCGTTACTGCCATCTGCTTTGATCCACATTGCTCACCATAGCTTGGGCTGTTCAGAATGTACCACTCAATTATCCGGGGGGGGGGAGGGGACGATACCAAATGTTTCGCATGGATTTACTTAAAACAAAAAAGCCAAGACAAAGCATTATAAAATCACTACAACTATTATTGTACAATGATTAACTAATTACAATTTAAATAGGGTTAAGTTTTATTTGTAAAATTGCGAGATAATGGAATAACCCCCCCCCCGTGGTTTATAACACTAACAATTTTTTTTGTTCCTAGGTAGTGTTATTCCATAATTGCTTATGCCTCAAAAATACAGAAAATGGCTATTATTCTCCACAAACGTTGCTTTTGTGACCAGGACAGTGATATTTGGCAATGTACCTATTTTCCTGAACATTCCAGATAGATTCAGTGCCGAGTAAACTTGGAGTAACTTCTAGAACATTCTAGAACTTTCCAGTAATATAAATACAGGGGCCTTAAGCCCACCAGTTCAGATTAGTTCCAGCTGTCTAAGTGGATACAAATGAACCTTATGGCCTTACCCCGAGGTACCGTAGTACCCCGAGCTCTCGCATGTCTGTGGAAAAAAAGTGTCCCAGAAATACAATATTTTATTGCCTAGGCCATTTTGTATTCTTTAGTACCCCGGGGTACCGCCATAAGGACCATATCTGCATTTTTCCTGAGATGGCATCAAGAGGCTGCAAGCATCCGGCAGACACATTTTGCGATGTCTGCAGCCAATTTATCAAGACGAGAGCGAGAAAGTACTACTCTGTGGAAGCATCTGCTAAGATCTGTGAGGCCTACAACAATGCATATTTCGGCATGCCTGTTAGGGATCGAGACAAACCCTGGGCACCTCATTTCAACTGCGGGCAATGCAAACAAAACTAAGGTAAGATGGACAATTGTTGCTCGGAATTTTATGTTATAAACTACATTTGGGGGCCGATTCGTAAAAGTGATTTACAGTATAATTGTAAATCTCGAAAAACTAACTCACTTCTAAATCTTTTGTAGTCATTTTTGTATTACTTTAGTATAAATACATGTTAATTATGAGTCATGCCGTTTTTTTCTGACTGAACGAAGAGACACAAATTCGCCCGTCTTCTCGTTGAAAATAAGTAAATTAAAAAAATATCACGGTCCTGGTCACAAAAGCCAAGTTTGTGGGGAATAATAGCCATTTTCTATACTTTTTAGGCAAGCAATTACGAAATAACACTTACTACCCAGGAACAAAAATTGTGTTACATAGTGGAATGGTTTCCTTTCTCCGTGGACCGGAAAGAAACGGCGTTACATTTTGAAGGCAAGTACCGCGTGAGACTCGCGCACACACACACACACGAAACTACTAACTTTGTTATATATACAGAGACATGCAAACAATTCATAATAAAGGTTTTTGGGTTATCTTCCTTGTTCTTTCGGTAAAGTCACCGAAAGAACAAGGAAGATGAATCCCTGCAGTCACGGAAGCTTTAAATCGAAAGTTTTTGGGTTAGATCGCGTTATTTATAAATGTGTCGTAACCCTCCAACACCCGACACGGCCAATCAGCAAAGTGTCACGTAGACAAAAGACAAATAGTTCACTACTTTAGCCCACCGGTGTGTTGAAGAGTGAATCCACAACAAGCATCTCTTTTTGCTGATTGGCCGTGTCGGGTGGTGGAGGGTTACGACACATTTAGGAAAAACGCGATCTAACCCAAAAGCCTTTATTATGAATAATATTGGTCGCGAAAGCCTAAGTGTTAAAAATGCAAGCAATGTTCATTTGTTGAAACGAGTAGAGAATCTTGGAGAGACTGGGCTGGTGAGAGGCTTGTCACTGCCCATCACCTCCACTTTCTTGTAACGTCGTACAGGGTTGGCCTTGTGTACCTGCACAGTGCGAACAACAACAATATAGTAACAAGTCTCAGCATTAACCAGGCCGTAGCATGCAATGGACTTGAAATTCTGTAAAATTAACATCCAGTCGAGGTGAGCATTTGTCCCAAGTGCAGAACGAGTAGTTTGTTATGCATCCTGTTTTCTAAATTGAAAAACAATGGTATTAATATGTAATGAGCTTTAGTGAAGCTATCTCATCTAATCACCAAGGAATTTATTTCTAAAACTTAAAATGACAGTTGGCAGCATTTGTTCTGGAAGATGTAAGCATATAATAGCTTTACAAATGCCAACTGCATGAGATGGAGTGAAGCAATTTCCCAAGCAATACCATCTGTGATAGTTACCATTTTGCAGTTTATTTTCCAGCCTTGGCAACATGCACTCTTTTATGGTTATAATGAATCCTCATCAAAGCATCTCTTTAATTTCTGGAAGTATTTTTTTGTAATGCTGAGCTTGACAGCTGGCCCAACTATTGATTAGGCCAGCTACTAAAGAGCAACGTTTGCTTGTTATAAAATGCAAGTGCTGAATGATGGGAATGTTATGATCCTGAAAAAATATATTTATTTTTATACACATAAGTTAACTGAATTGCACGTAAGAATGCACGTCTTATGTGTATACCACTACACATTCCAAAGATTAATGATAGATTTGACATTACCACAACGCCTGAGAAAAAACTCAGAATTGAATTTATTCCAAATAATGACACTCCATATGAAGGGGAAGATCATTCCATAGGTTATTAACGACTATCATGAGCCAAGAATGTCTGTGTCCCGCGCGTGACGTCACTCCACGTCGACCAGCCCCCCTCATTAATAATCATGAACAGGTAACGTCCTCCAAATGGACCCCCCCCCCCCCCGATTAATAATAATTAATAATAGGGTTTTTCCCCTTTTTTCTGGCAACAAAAGTGAAACCTTTTTACGATTCATGTCTGCATTAACCACAATACTTGCAGTCAAAATGCAAACAAAAAACATACTATGATAATTATTGCATTGTTCTTGAAACTGATTGGTCCACACCAAGGGACGGCTTTCTTTTGAGCCTCGACCGAATTGGTGCTCGACCAGATGACGCCAAAAAGCGTACAGCTCCAAGACAATGCACTATCAAAGTAATGAGGGCTCGGGGTGAGCATCTACATCATTAGACCTCCTTTGCCAGTACCAAAATGTAATAATAGGGTTTTCCCCTTTTTTTCTGGCAACAAAACTGAAACCTTTTTACAAGGATTCATGTTATGATCCTGGACCAATCAGTTTCAAGGACAATGCATATATTATCATAGTATGTTTTTTGTTTGCATTTTGACTGCAGGTATTGTGGTTAATGCAGACATGAATCCTTGTGAAAAGGTTTTAGTTTTGTTGCCAGAAAAAAGGGGAAAAACCCTATTATTACATTTTGGTACTGGCAAAGGAGGTCTAATGATGATAATAATAATTAGCGGGCGACGTCACTCCACATGGAGGGGCGAGGCGTCTCCTCCTCCTCAGCTGTTGAGACATCGAAGTAAAAAGGACGTCATGATGAACAAGGGATTATAACCTTTAAATGAAATAAGTCTGTGTCACCACGGCCTTACAAACTGCACACGAATGGATGCAATGAATATCACGTTGCAGTCTGCTTTTCGCTTGCAAGTTTCAGATTTACTGTAATACACCCGTCCTTGGACGGGCAAAAGGCGAGTAACAAAATAATAAGTTAACTTAATATACTGCATTGTCCATCGGAGCAACACAAGGTGACAAAACCACAAAATGTGTACTCGGCCTATACAATTGTGAATACATCCAAATAATACTTCAGACTGCTGGCTTCAATCAAAAAACAGTATAACATCACACCTTCGACTGCAGCTTGTCTGCTGGTGCAATCTTAGCCGCACTCTTGCCCGGAGGCCCTGCTCGACTCTTTGTCTTCCAGTTCAAGCAGTGCAGACCAAGGGGACGAGGCGGAGGTCTCGAGCCACCCGGCTGCCCGGCTTTCGTCACCGGTACCACAGGGTGCTGAGTTGAAGGGGCTGGCCTGGTGTTCTCCTCTCCCCGAGACACTGTGCTTCTGCTGTTTGTGGTTTTCCGCACACAAGCTCGTTTGGCCAGAGGTTGAACCGACTGTACTTTTCGCGGTGCATTTCGTTGACTGGTGGCATTGGTTTTCAGTTTTTTCACGTTTGGCTCACCTATGGGTAAAATGCAACAGCCAAACATTCCATACTTAAAATTCCAGCAATCTTTTGGAGCTCTTTTTGACGATGTAATCGTTATTGTTTATAATAGTAGCATTGAACTAGGTACTGTAATTATTTGCTCTCCCATCTATACTCACCTTCACAAACCCACACTGATCAGCATGGTAAAGTCCAGTCAAATAACTCCCAATTACCTGTACAGGCTTCATGCAGCATTATATTGACAATTAGAGTAACACTCCCTAGTATTTAGACAATATTGCACTGCACAGGTAAATATTCTGTGGTTCATTACATAGCCGTGTTGTGCAGTCGCCCACTTGTCTGTGGTGCTGTCATCCTTGACTTCAACCGTGTAGACATGCAGGAGTTGGTGGCTACACCTGCATCATCTCCTTCACGTTTTCTCTTCAACACAGGCAAGCCTCCAGCCAGCCGACTGGACATCGCTTGCTGCAAACTCTTTGCCTGCAACAAGAAAGCCATAATATAAAAACGTTTGTTCACTTCATCAGAGATGGACCCTATAGTCACCATTTTTGGGCAAATTTCATAGTTCGCAAGTCTCAAGCATGATAATTGATTCACGATAATCCTTAGACCAGACACGGGCCGTATATGGCCCCCCGGGCCGTATACGGCCCGTTGGGCTTTTTAATCCGGCCCGCCGAACTTGTCCAAATATTATTATTGAATATAATTTTACCTTTCTCCTGTAATGCCCCCATTTCCCCATTAGATGGCGCACTTTGACCGGGAGTGTGGCGTATAGGGCTCGAAAGGGTACATGATCTCGCAATGCATTGTGGGCCGTCACAGATCAAAGTTAACGGATCAGCACCTCAGATCCATCCTGAGATTTGCCACAACCAAAATAACTCCAGAATTGGATGCACTGTCAAAAATGGGAGATCAACAACACTGTTCCCACTGAAACTTAAAGCGATGTGTTGCTGCAGCGAGGTTGGAGCCAAATCTCCGACACACAGCCTGCGTGGCTGCTCTAACCTGTTAATGTAGACAATGAAGAAGGTCAAGTGAGGTCATTGGTTTGGGCACAGGCCTCAGATGTTTTCATGATGTTTGATCAGTCACGTGACGACATGTTTTTGTATTGTTCATGTTCGTGCAATTTGTTAAATTGCCTTGCAAATAAATGCTTTGCTACCTGTTAAAGGCCAAATCCTTTCATGTAATGATTTTTACATGTTTTTTATATTAGTTCACAAACACTCCATCCATCTGTTCCTGGCCCGGCCCCTCTGTCAAATTTTAGAACCCATTGTGGCCCGCGAGTCAAAAAATTTGCCCACCCCTGGCCTATACCCACACATCCCTTTTTGCCCTTGTCTACAGGATAATTAAATGTTTCTGTGCCTCCGTTTCTCAATTTCTTGGGTTTCCCAAGGTCTTGAAGTGTGGGTCTGATTCTAACCCTTTAGGGCAGTGATGTTTAGCCTTGTACCCCTTTGGTTCTCAATCGTAAAAAAGGTATGCTACTACATAGGTTTAATGAAACAAAGTAGTTGTACTTACATGCCCGTGCTTAATTTGTGTTTCGATGATTTACCTTAAAAAAAAATCTGCCATGTGTCGCACTCCCAGAAAGGGCATCTCACACCTCCCCCCCCAGAGGTGCGTGCACCCCAGGCTAAGAACCACTGCTTTAGGGTTTACATGAAGGAGAAATATGAGAATAGGTTTTCTACCTTTTTTCTGACAACAGGTGTTAAGATGTTAAAACACCAAACTGAAACCTTTTACAAGGAATCATGTCTGCATTAACCACAATACTTGTGGTCAGAATACAAACAAAAATACTCTGATAATATATGCATTGTCTTTGAAGGAGAAAGATGAACACTTTTTTGGTTTAAACATATCTTAGTTTTAACAAGTTCAAATAACGTTCCACTCATGCGGAGTGCACACACCTGTATTTGCATGCAGCGTGGTTAGAGTGAGCGTACAACTGTCCCCAAACTGGGGGAATGTTACCGTGAGTCTCCAGGATAATCCGCAAGACTTGTATGCCATATGCGTCTTGGCATTCAGAGGGTATCGTAACGCTGCTCATACCAAAGGTTCACACTTACCGCAGCAAAGCTGTTTTTTGAACGTCGGTGGGTTTTGTCTGTACTCTGTGTGGCTCCCAGCAATGGCTGCTGCATGGCGTGCCGCTTAATTCTTCCGTCCGTGTGGAAATTGAAAACCACTGGGAGAGTGGGCATGCACGTGGACTTGAGAGGCATGTGCACTTAGCAAAAAAAAAAAAGAGATTGAAAAGTTTTAGCATCAAATGTGTTGGTAATTGAAAACATGTTTTGTTTTTCAAATGTAACAGACATTTTTCAACCGTCCCCTAATGGGAAAACAATTTAATTTTTAAAACACATTTGCACATGCATACAACCAACCTTTGCCAGTTACATAACAAATTGTTCACGCACGCAAAAACTTGCCTTTTTAACATTACAGTACATTATCAACAGACATTAAGGACGGTATAATTTTGCTCGACCATAGCTTTTAGTGATTCTTCTCCACCTCTTCCTTAAATGCATGTTGAACTTTTTTTGCACCATACATAGACAACCACGCGAATCGGACTATTAAAATGGCCAGTGTTTGGAACTACTGATACCAACTCAAAATATCAGGTTTCCATGAAACGAAATAGCTCGGCTTATTTGAATATTGATATATTAATGAGTTTTGTAACTTGTTTTCCAATTTGAATGGCAAATCAACTCATTGTGAATTGCATGTTGTTTTTACCATGTTCACGATTATTACTGTAATTCGATTGATTTCATTACATCCCTCGTTTTTGCTTAACATTTTCAGCATCCTTATGCATTTCACAAAATATAAGGTGTCTATTAAACATATATCACTTTTCAAAGTAGGACAAGTTATTTGGAAGGCATATACATTATTTATCATAGTAATCAATGCTCAAACAAATGGCACTTAAGAACAAAGTATATGTTTAATTTAAAATTCAACCTGAGCTATGCTGCACCATCCGTAGTGATTTCTGGGCCATCTCTCGGTGCCTTTTAAGCTCCAGTTGCAGCTGCTTAATCTTCTCCAGCTCTATCTCCTCCGTGGTCTTTGCCTTGTTGGTCACGTCCATGCGTCTATTAAAAAAAAATCAAGGGCATTGGAGAAACATAACCTTAAATTATTATTTTACCCATACTTATGTACCAATTACATACATCTGAGCCCCACCACATGCAATGTATGCCTTGCCAAGCAAAACATTTAAGCCATGCAAGCAATTTTAAGTTAGCATTTCTCCACTGCAGGTGACAATGCTAAAAGCATGACTTGGTGGGGTCTCAGTTTTATGTGTGGGCCACGGCTGAATATACTACCACAGGTACACACTTACTTGGCAGCCACATGGTAAAGGGGGCGTTTCTGACCAATGGCTTTGAACTTGGATGGAAGGGCAATGCTGGGAAGGAAATACCAAAAAAAACACTCCACACAAACTGTAGATATTTGCTCCATGGCTACACTCGCCATCTGTACAATCAAATTCTCCTATGTGTCATTCGTTGCGTTTAGTAGTGCCTCAACTCGATAAAGGTCAGGGTTTATTAGTCCCGAACCTCAATATTCCTGCTGACCTGCTGCACATCTATGAAAAAGCGCTGCGTGGCTCATTGGATACCACCAGTCTAAATAAATAATCCGAGAAAAGATTAACATCTACCATTCAACAGGAGTATACATTGTATAAATAGTTGAGAGGCCACCATCCTTGGCACTCATACAATTTAATAAACTATGGTTACTCTACAGCTACTAAAATTGTTCATAAGGAATATTTTTTTAAATTACTATCTTATCGTGTAATCTGCAGTCTTCCCACTCTTATCACATATCTCTATAGCTTCTCTTTGCGTAATCAAAAAGGGTAATTTTACAAAACGTCACCATGTTTCATAATACAGGTTTTTGGGGTTAGCACCACCCGACGCAGCCAATATGCCTACGATAATCACCCAGGAATGTCTGTTCTCAATGCTCGTGACATCACCCCACATCGAACAGCCCCCCTCATTAATAATCATTAGCAGGTGATGTCATTCAAATGCCCCCCCCCCACTAATAACCATGCACAAGTGACAACACTCCACATCGAACAGCCCCCCTCATTAATAATCATGAGCAGGTGACGTTCTCCAAATGGACACCCCCCCCCCCCCATTATTATTACCTATGAGCCAAGAATGTCTGTGTGCAACGCTCGTGATGTCACTCCGTGTCGACCAGCCCCCCTCATTAATCAAAAACAGGTTATGTCCTCCATATGGACCCCCCTCATGAATAATTATGAGCAGTTGACGTCACTCCACATGGAGCACCCTCCCACCTCATTAATAATCATGAGCAGGTGACGTCACTCCGCATCAAACAGCCCCCCTCATTAATACTCATTATAAGATGCCATCCTCCAAATGAACACCCCCCATTAATAATAATTATCAGCTGACGTCACTCCACATGGGGGGGAGAGGCGCCTCCTCCCCCCTTCTCGGCGTCAACTCACAACCCTCACTACAAAGGCAGAACCCTCACGTCACGTGATCTCCGTCACACTGTTGAGACATCAAAGTAAAAAGGACGTCACGATGAACAAGGGATTATAACCTTCAAATGAAATGGGTCTGCATCACCGCGCCCTTACAAATCGCACACGCATTGATACAATGAATGTCACGTCGCGGTCTGATTTTCGCTTGCAAGTTTCAGATTTACTGCAATACACCCGTCCTTGGATGGGCAAAAGGCTAGTTACTAAGATTTGTCACGTAAACAGAACGTGCCAATTCGTTTCTAATACAGCACATCGGTGTGTTGGAGAGCCAAGCCACAACATTTACAATCCGAGTACGACGTTTCGCCAGTAATTACAACTAGCTTCATCAGGCGACAGCCAGATTTTTTTTTATGTGACAACCCTTACTAATGCTGTCGGGTGGTGGCGGGTTTCACGACACATTTATATATTTATGCGAACTAAACCCAAAAAAAACCCCTGTATTATGGATATTGGTCGCGAAACCCTACCACGCGTTAAACTACGTCAGTGTTACCGACGCGTGCGTAGTTTGTTGTGCTTGTGCGCACACCCCACTGCCAACGCATTAGCATCAATTAATGTTTGACTTAACGTAGCACTCGAACGCCCTCTAGTGGACAATGGAAACATTGCCGCGAACTGACTCTCAAGCGCACACCGCCGCGCTGAAACGTACCCACGTGGCGAGCGGGTCTTCGACTTCATCGCTGCGTCCGTGGCCACGTCGTCGCGTCTCCCGTTCGTGTCTACTGGTGGGATCACATGCAACAACACAAAAGGCACATACAATATAAAACCCAAAGGAAAGTTCGAGCCGTAAGCCGCATGTGTGTAGGAACAAACGATTTCACCCATACTACAGCAAGAATGTTTTTTCTTCCTGCTGTGGTTTTCCCACCTGCTGACGATTGCTTGTGTTGCGATGGAAACGTCGTGATTTAATTTATTTTTTATCCCTACGTGACTTTACCGAAAGAACCAAAGAGTATGGATCCTTTGCAGTAACGAAACTTCAAATCTTGATTTCACCCATACGCGTGCACCACCACAGATGCGCTTCTGCGGTCGACTGGAACGCTCTTCCGATTTTAGGAAGCCATTTGATTCCTTGCAAATTATCATCTGTTATTGAAAGTTAATTTCGTTAGAATACATTTTTTTGTGTTTAGTCTGTTGTCTTTTCTCCGCACCTCCGCTTACCACGGTTGGCTACGCACGATGCGACAGTTCACCATACATACATACATGTACAGGTGCATTTGGCACAATCCGCCGCCGAATGAGTGCATCCTCACACCGTATAAGGTTGCGGAGGTCACTTGATCATACTTCACCACGCCGGTGAGCGCGAGTTGAAAATAGAGTGCGGCAAGACATTGCGTTGTGTTGCACTGCCCTCTGCTGGCCTCACTACAGCGTGGAGCTGCAAACAATATATCGCAGTACCAAAACAAACCACCGTTTCCATACGTTCTAAGCGAAGTGTTCGATTCTCTGTAACATCCGCGGTCAACAAGACGCCGCAAAATCATTCAACGGATTCATTTTCGATTAGCTCCACGAGAACATCAAACGCAACAAGGGAATGTGCAAAGTATATATGTGAAATAATAAATTAATGAATTGCTCCCAAGACACGTGTCTCTGCACACACACAAAAATAAACCACAATTATTTCGTACGGAAAGAAATTATACAAGTATACAACGGAATACTTTGTGCCGTTGACGGATATATGAAGCGTCACCGTCCGATAATTTTACTTATATTATCCACGACGCTAATCCCCGCGCACTTTTAACACGAAAACCGGTTGTCTACACCCCAATATGATACAAACACGTCTCTTATCGGTCTTCTTCTTATTCTTATTTCGTATGGGTATCAATGTGCGAGAGAGAACGCCAACCGGAGGAGATGGAGCGATCACCATCAGCTCGTGTAGCCGCGAGTCTGTGTGGATTCAAAATTTGAAGCGGGTGCCCTCCATCCAACAGTGGATTGACCATGGCTTGTCGCCACAGGAATCTACAGTAAAATACTGGCGATACGTCCTACTCGGATTGTAAGCAAATGCGAGTTTACTCTCCCAACACACAACCCGGGTGTTGTACTAGTAACGAATTGGCATGTTCCCTTTGCGTGACAAACCTTACAAATTGGCTGTGTCGGGTGGTGGCGGGTTTAACGACACATTTATATGCACGCGATCCAACCCCCCCCCCCCAAAAAACATAACATGGATATATAAATTGCAGGTGGCTATTCATGGTTTGCATGTGAATTGTGTGGAGTATGAGGTACTTGAGTTTACAATCACCGCACTCACAGGAGACATCAAGAATAATTGGTGTCGACGCAGAGCAGTGTAAAATAAACCAATTATCAACACGAAATGTCAGCATTAATTAGCAGAAATTAGATTGGATAAACAGGATGGCATTCTGTGTTTGCAATGATGATATCCCCTAATTGACCTCGCCAAATCCAAGCCACCTTTAAGCGTGCCAAACCATGTTCAACAATGCCGCGTTGTAATGCAATGGGTGGGCCAAACTCCTTACGGATATTTGAAAATTTGCTCAAACCAACTGAATCAAGCAACCGAAACAAATGAAACCACCGCGAACCGAATTCCCCTCGATGTAATTTTGATGATATTTGGTTGCGATAGTCGACTAGTACGTGTTAAAGTGGCGTTTAACGCAACTCACCATCCGCGCCGCGCACGTTCGCCTGCAAGCAGTCGACATCCCTTGCGTCCACACCTCGCGACGCACTCGTGTTCATTTGCGCCGACTAATTAAAACGATTCCCGACAAATTAAACGGTTTATAACTCGTTCCGGCCGCCCTTATTAACACAAACAAACAACTACACCAACAACAAAAAATTTTAACTTTGCACGCACCCAAACCGACTTCCGGTATGCAACGAAATTTTTTTAAATCGACCAATCGAGTGAGAGAACGCGAGTCCCCGCCCCTCCCCGGTACCTCCCGCCGATTGGCTGAAACTCCCCCCCCGCCGATTGGCTGAAATTTCCCCCCCGCCTCCCCAACCCACGCCCCCTCCTCCCCACCACCGTTCCCTAAAATCCGTTGGGGGAGTTTGAATTCGCTGAGCCCCCGCCCCCACACTTCACCCTCCCCCACCCACCCCCACACCCCTCTTGCCAAATCAGAGGTTTTCCCCCTCGGCACCGACGTATTTTTGAGGTCATTCGAGGCGAACGTTAAGGGAAGTTACGCTCGTCATCATCATCAACAACAACAAGCTTTTCACCACCGTTCCGCACTTGACCAGCGTGGTGAGGTATGGTTAATGACCTAAATGGAGGTTGTGGTGGTGGGGGGGGTGATTCATCCAGCAGTGGATTGACAAAGGCATCTGTGTGAAAAAGAGCTTCATAGCTCATCGGATTGCTCCAGCTCAAATAAAGAGTCTGATGTCCACTGCTGGATGAATCACTACCAAACCCCATTTCGGCCATGACCATACTTCACCACGCTGGTCAATGCGGAATGGTGGTCAAGGCATGCCATGTGCATGTTCTATTAGCATGGTTGGCTACGTACGGTGCAAAAGAAGTACAACATACAAGATAATGTTCACTGCAGTACCGTATATATCCAAGTAACAGGACTGGAAATCACAGAGCACAAACAACAGTTCAGTGCTTGGGCAGCTGTTCAACAGTGTTTGGTGATGCTGTGTTGGCAGTGGTGCAAACCTAATTTATGTTACCTAAACATTTTTTTTTCATTTAAACTCATGGTATTGATCAGTGTGTCGAGTTTTGTTATTAGGGAAATTATCGAATGCAGCCCAGAACCACACGGGAGGATCTTGTAAATGATCTCAAGGCAGCTGGGACCATAGTCACCAAGAAAACAATTGGTAACACACTACGCCGTGAAGGACTGAAATCCTGCAGCGCCCGCAAGGTCCCCCTGCTCAAGAAAGCACATATACATGCCCGTCTGAAGTTTGCCAGTGAACATCTGAATGATTCAGAGGACAACTGGGTGAAAGTGTTGTAGCCAGATAAGACCAAAATGGAGCTCTTTGGCATCAACTCAACTCGCCGTGTTTGGAGGAGGAATGCTGCCTATGACCCCAAGAACACCATCCCCACCGTCAAACATGGAGGTGGAAACATGCTTTGGGGGTGTTTTTCTGCTAAGGGGACAGGACAACTTCACTGTATCAAAGGGACGATGGACGGGGCCATGTACCGTCAAATCTTGGGTGAGAACCTCCTTCCCTCAGCCAGGGAATTGAAAATGGGTCGTGGATGGGTATTCCAGCATGACAATGACCCAAAACACACGGCCAAGGCAACAAAGGAGTGGCTCAAGAAGAAGCACATTAAGGTCCTGGAGTGGCCTAGCCAGTCTCCAGACCTTAATCCCATAGAAAATCTGTGGAGGGAGCTGAAGGTTCGAGTTGCCAAACGTCAGCCTCGAACCCTTAATGACTTGGAGAAGATCTGCAAAGAGGAGTGGGACAAAATCCCTCCTGAGATGTGTGCAAACCTGGTGGCCAACTACAAGAAATGTCTGACCTCTGTGATTGCCAACAAGGGTTTTGCCACCAAGTACTAAGTCATGTTTTGCAGAGAGGTCAAATACGTATTTCCCTCATTAAAATGCAAATCAATCTATAACATTTCTGACATGCGTTTTTCCGGATTTTTTTTGTTATTCTGTCTCTCACTGTTCAAATAAACCTACCATTAAAATTATAGACTGATAATTTCTTTGTCAGTGGGCAAACGTACAAAATCAGCAGGGGATCAAATACTTTTTTCCCTCACTGTAATGGAGTAATGGACATCCCATCATATACACAGTACACCAATTCAATTGGCGACGCATACTCAATCCCTTCTCACCAACATCCTCTCTAACCAAGCCTAGCCACCCGGGCAGTGATGCATCGCGAACGGGAGTGATCATGGGTGATGTGAAAGGCACATTTCGTGGTTCAGGCCCCAACCCTGCACCACTCTAGCGCTGACCCTGTCTCTTTGTATGTATTTTGAACTTCTTTCGCACCGTACCTAGTCAACCGTGTTAATCGGAACCCTAATCTGCACTCTCTACTCGGCTCTTTGATCCATTCTGGCACCAAAGTCTGTTCTCTTCTCTAGAAATATAATTACGTGCCACTTCTTGCGCTACCTCTTCCAAAAAAGTATATTTCAAGGCTGGAAGAGAAGAGGAAATCAAAATACCCTCTAGTTAGGGCTCAGAGCTAGCGAGAGCTCCCTCTCGTGGATTCCCTTCTGCCAGAAGTGACGTGGGCAAGCAATTGCAGGGGTGCAAGGTTACCTTGCACATTCCCAACCAATGCCGTGATAGTGCTTATATACTTGGCATTCCTATTAATTTGCTTCGATTTCCTTATGTGAAGTAGAGTAAAAAAAATACAACTAACACAGCGTGGTGATAACGTCATCCATTGGTGGGCTGAAAATGGCTGCTATTTATGTATTTTATCATGCTGTTATTCGCATGACTGTGCCATTGTTCACTTTATCTCATGCCTGCCTAATTGCTGTACCTCTCAAACACCCCAGACCCTACCCCTTGTACTTACTCTCGAGCAGCCCGTGGTCTTCCAAGCCTCCACACATTGATTTAATTGTGAAGCTTTAACTGTAAGACTGTGAACAAACTGGGAAAACTACATGCCAACATCTCTCGAGTCATGTAATGATAGTAGTAGTAATAATATCAACAATTATATGCATGGTAATATCAACAATAATACGATTAATAATAATCTAAGGATAAAACAGGAAAGATGACCTAAAGGACTACTCTTTGGTCCTACATGTCTTTTGTGGTTGCTATTTCTGAGGTACAAAACTCAGGACATATCATGGGAATAAGAATATCTCACGATACTGACAGATAGGAGCACCACACGAAACACAATTTCTTGAGTAGTTTATTATTGTGCTACTGACAACTGGGGGCTGTTAATGTCCCAGGGAGACTTACCGATTCCCCAGGACAGCGACATAAAAAAGAGGATGAATCTTGGAATACAAGAACAGGTATAGTAACCTTAAACTCTATATTCCGTAGGCATCATATAGTACATTGTGGTAGTACTGTAGTTACATGTAGTAAAATTAAAGTCAATTGAAGGATCTCTCAACTCACCTAGAATGCGTTATTTAACAACACTGGCTTACATGTTTTTGCAAAACAAATAGATAGTTTTGTTTGGGTCCAAATCAAATCGATGTATTGCATTTGACCATTTATATTCAAGTATTGGTAATAAGTGAGACTCCATTCCTAAAATATGGTACCTAACACAATGTAACATCTAAATTTGCCAAATACTATTTTTTTTAAGGATATCACCTTAAAAAGTTCTGCATGTTTTATACACGTATTTATCTCAAGAACATGTTTTCTGTGGAATGCATATAAACCATGATTTGACCTTCAATGTTACAGTGTCTGGTTTTAGGTAATAACATGACTGAGCATGAAATTAATGTTTTATTATCAACTTTACTTTTCCCTGCATAACAATTGCAACTGAATAAATATCAGTCTTAAAAAGCATGCAGGCAAACGTTTTAGAGGATCTCTTTCAACATCTGTGCTACCAAGATATCGGGTCGTACATATTATCACCTTTCCATAAACACTATCCACCCTGCCAACGTCAACCCATCTAAAGCTGACCGTGGACAAAACAGGCAAAAACAGGAAGGCGTATTTGATTGTCAAAAAAAGACTGCACCCATCTGTAAAAAATGTGGTCTTTGAAGAATGCAAGAGATGTCGTAACTTGGGGTTCCAATTCCTTGATATACTGCCTCACTCACACCTTTCCTCCGCTGGAGCAACAAAGCTAAAAACATTAACATATTCTTGCTTTGATTTATTGAGGTTTTTAAAATTAAATATTTTTCTACATAACAAGAATTTGTCTGTGTAAACATATTTAACACCAGTTCACTTAATCCTTTTAATAATGCATAAAAAATGACCCGGAATAAATCTACTCTTATCGTCTTAGCAAATGTTATAGCAGTTGACAATTGAATACGTGTATAATGCTACCTTAACTTTACGAATCTTATATCAGCATGGCTGTTTTGTGCCATTAAAACAGGCAATACAATTCTAAAGCATTGATTTAAAAAACACAACATTTATCTGTTATCAACGTTTCGACTAAAAGGCATAAATTCCATAATACGAAGTTTTCATTATTCATCTAAGTCTATTGGTACATATATAGGCTCAAATATAGGCTTTTTATTTTCACTTAAGTCTATTGGTACGTAAGTGAAAATAAAAAAGCCTATATTTGTGCCCCAGGCCAGCCCTTAATGAAGTTTGTTGTTTACGTCAACCAAATAGATAAAATGTGCAATGCCGAATTGTGATGCTGTGCATAGCACACTATGTACCAACAGGGCTCGCTTTATCCCAAACAGTGTAATATATACAAGAGTAAAGTTACAAAGGCTCGCTTCTGACGTGGCCAAAGTGGGGGTGTGTTATAAGATAGTCATCCCACAAGAGACTGTGCCGAAAATCGCCATCTGATGCCCTTCGAGAACAGCTTGCCATTATGACCTTGCAATAGCTTCATTGTCCATGAGAAGAAAAAAAAACGTGACTGTAAATACATCATGAGGCGATTGTTGTTGTGCACGCCCATTCCACAGAGGGCTTTAACGTACCTTGATTCCAATGGTTTTGTGGGTGTGGAACTGTGTTGCTTTGTTTTGTTAAAATTAGTCAGCAGAATGGCCAGTACCTAAGGAAGTGCTAAGTAAATAAATGCAGTTGCACGGTGGAATGGATAGAAAATAATTTCACGTATGCATTGTTTGTTAGGAACTCCCAAAGAGCGCAGGCGTAAGTAATATATTTCGTGTAAAGTACAGTATTGTATTGGGCTATCATAAATTACTCTGGTTTAGCTATATGGAATGTTACTTCCAAGTGAAACAAAGGCTGCTTCTTAACTTTGAGTTGTTGCTGTATTATAATTGTGATTCATGTGGTGTCATTGAGATACTTCATAAATAACACGTCCTAAATACCTCATAATGTCTACAGTAGAAAATAAACGAATCCAAACAAGATGAATGGATGGACGGATCAAAAATAATCCCTGTGTAAATGTGACACACTCAGCAATCACCAAACAACCTGTGTCAATTTGCATGTGGTGTGGATTTTAAGGGCGGATTCTGTCTCCAGTAAAAAAAACTGCTCCAGTAAAGGTGCTGTGCTTGACCGTGCTTTGTACATTATGAAGAAATTCACCTTTTGCAGGGGCTTTCGTGTTTTTTGAAAAGCAGCTAAATCACACCACGTCACTCGGTGTGCTGAAAAATTACGCACACCGACTATCTAGCGTTTGCCATTTTCAATGTGTAACGCAATGGAATCAAGGGGGGCAGTTGTAGCGATTGAATGACTGCACGAAAAGGGCACAGTGTGGATGCTTCAGTTACCTAACCTGTTGCTGAAAACGGCACCAAATGGCACTAAAACAGCCCTTACATAAGCCACTGTGGAGCAACGTTGTGCGTGTCGCCATCTTGCGGTGCACGTGTGCGTTTTTAATCGTCAATAAATGAGCATCTACGACCACAGAAAATCATTCGAATATTTAAGCCCTGCAACATGCATACGCTGGATGCGTGAATGTGCATCTGGCAAGACAGCTCACCCTATCCTTCCGTGAAATCCCTGCCACCCTCCAACGTTTGGGCAATCGACTAGTCTGTGGCCTGACACAGAAAGCGCTGACCTCAATGACACTTTCTTCTATTTCTACATAGAATTACTATCCCTAACGTGATATGCACTTTGTCGTCAATGCTCCATAGTTTTAATCAGTATCTGGAAGAAATATGTATCTCTCTCCTGGAGGCAATTGCGCGGTTGGCTACGTACGGTGGGAAATAAGTCCAACACACGTACATACATGCTCACACGGTGCATCGCTTCATTCACATTGTCATGAGAAAAACACATCTCTTGACACAAGTGGTTCTTTGTAAAATATTGTGGAAGTAATTGGAGAAAAGGCCTCGCGTGGGTTGAATTAACATTTTCGGATCAGGATATTTCAGGTTTCTCTATTTTGCCTAGTTAATGCTAGGGGCGTAATCATTCAAAGATTTCGTGGTTATTCGAGATGGTTTTTTTTTTCTTTTAACATTGCAGTGAATGTATTGCTCTCTCGTGGCTGGATGTGTAACATTAACCTATTCATCTTTGGCTGGCTCTAAGTCATAAGTGTCGACCATCCCTTCTATCTCAATGTATCCTGGCCAAGCTCATGTACCTTTCTCAACAGCCAATGTCTTAACCTGTGTTTGTTCTCCTATACGTGTTTAAAAGCATGGGTCTCTCCATACTTTTGTACAGACTTCTCAGCTATTGTGACCGTATTTATGATCCATTTGTCACAGCAGATAATATGCACTTATTGAAAATGTCCTCTAGGGAAAATGTTATGTTACTTTTCGTTGTCAATTTCAGTTGACTAAAGTACTTCAACCTACTCTCTGCTTCCTCGAATTTATAATTTTGATCCTGCTCCACTTGGTCCACCTTCAATGATCCATTGTTCAAATATATTTTCTTTGTATTAGAACGGACCTGTTTTTACCCCTTGTGTGCTCAAAGGCCATGAGATTATTTTCTTGTTACCCATTTTTATACTTTTATGCGATCCAACGAATACTTCCTCCATGAAACACACCAAAAGTATATACATTTGACAGACCTTGCACACATCTGATGATGAAAAACATGATTGGGTTCGGTCATGAGGTCTAGTGTTTCGGAGGTCTTAGATGATAGTACTGAATATATATAACCATGAAGGCTAATAGATTTATATTTTGTCCGTCTAGGAGACAATGACGAGTAACACATTCCTGCGGAGGTAGCTGGTAGGAACGTTGGGTTGCTCGGTCAATGGCCAGGGTCAACGGCACCACCACGTGGTGTATTCCGCAAATATGCCCGACTGTGAGGGCGGGCACAAGCCGGCGTGAGTAGGTTAAACGTTGAGTTTTATAAGGGCACCACGGGGTGACCAGCCCCTCCCCACCCAGCCCCTCCCTCCCACCCAGCCCCTCCCCACCCAGCCCCTCCCCACCCTCCCCACCCAGCCCCACCCCTCCCACCCAGCCCCACCCTCCTCATCCAGCCCCTCCCCACCCAGCCCCACCCCTCCCACCCCCCACCCAGCCCCACCCTCCTCACCCAGCCCCTCCCCACCCAGCCCCACCCCTCCCACCCAGCCCCTCCCCACCCAGCCCCACCCAGCCCCACCCTCCCCACCCAGCCCCACCCCTCCCACCCCCCACCCAGCCCCACCCTCCCCTCCCCACCCAGCCCCTCCCCTCTCCACCCCTCCCATTTTTGGATGCACGCCGGACGGACGGACACAATAATCCCCAGTGGGCTGCTGGTGTAGTAACCAGGAGGGCCCTACCACTACAACCACCTGCATGCATACAAGCACATGACATCGCAAATACTGTACATTTCCTGTACCTCCCTGCGGGCCTTCTTTATTAATTGACCAATGCAGTAGTCTCCTTACCAAATCTGATGAACTTTGGAAATTGTCTGTTGCACCTACATGTAAGATGGTCCATGGTCAAAGAAGCGGAATTGGATTTGAGAAACACCAACACAGTAATATAATGTATGAACCAATTTAAACGCCAAGGACAGTACTGTATCAGACTTGATATGTACATGGAGCACTCTTTTACCAATAAACGAGTTAAAGGAACCCTTTAAATGAGTTAATAATGCTTTATATCATTATATATGTCATACAAATCATAGTCCACCACAGACATGATTGATGACATAATTTTTTCTTTAGAATCTATAAAAAGCAAAAAAATGTGGTTTAATGTGATTTTAGTCGTAAAAGGACGTCAATTTGATGGGAAAAAAAGTATGTAAGTTCAACACGTAGGCTTTCGCGACCACTATTGTCCGTAATAAGAGGTTATTGGGTAGATTGCGTAAAAATAAGTGTTGCTGACCCCACCACCACCCGATACAGCCAATTAATAAGGTTTGTCACGCAAACAAAACGTGCCAATTAGTTGTGAGTTTACTATGCAACAACACCGGCGTGCTGCTGAATGGACGACGTTGCATTGTGTCGCGTTGCGTGTGCGTGTGTTGTGGTTGTGCACCAATTTGCCAACGGGGACAGCTTCACCCAGAGATAATAACGAAAGCGCACACACACACACACAACAAATACACAATTAATGCCTCTAACAGACTGTTGGGGCAAGTGCTGTTAGCGAGCACCTATGAAGGTCAGGCACGGCACACGGAGGGGTTTCGTTGGGCCAGCACCACGCCCGGCCGCCTTTGTCTCCCCCCCAGTGGCGATGTTTACTACGCACCGCACACCAGGTGCACGACCGGTTACGATTGTTGGCCGTGAGCGGGAATCGAACTCGGGTGGCACGGGCGGCTGCGTAGCGTAGCGCTAACCGGCCGGCTTCGACCCAGCGAGCAATAGCGAAGCACGCGCACGGGAACACGCACGGACACGCGCACGGGAACACGCACGGACACGCGCACGGGAACACGCACGGACACGCGCACGGGAACAAACACGGGAACGCGCACGGGAACGCACGGACACGCGCACGGGAACGCACACGCACGGGAACTATCACGCACGGGAACTATCACGCACGGACACGCGCACGGGAACGCGCACGGGAACAAACACGCACGGGAACTATCACGCACGGACACGCGCACGGGAACGCACGGACACGCGCACGGGAACACGCACGGGAACAAACACGCACGGGCACACGCACGGGAACTATCACGCTCGGGAACGCGCACGGGAACGCACGGGAACAAACACGGGAACACGCGCACGGACACGCGCACGGGAACGCGGACGGACACGCGCACGGACACGCCGCGTGCACCCCGCCCACGCATCTAGTCGCCCGCCTCCAAACCATTCACGGTGCAGGGCGCGCCGGAGGAGAAGGCGGAGGCGAGAGGGGCAGCAGCTGCGGCTGCTTCACACTCGGCGGCTGTGAGGCACAGGCAGCAGCAGCAGCCTCAGCCTCCTCAGCCTGCATTGCCTCATCCATCGTATTCAGTGTCGCAGTCAGGAGGAGGCACGACCACCGCCACCGCCTACTACTACGACCGCCACCACCACCACCACCAACCACCGGCAGCGGCATCAGCAGCAGCGCCACACAGGGCACGCCCAGAGCTCGCGTGGAGTCACAGTGGACTACAGTGAGCATTCTGGTAGCTTGTGCTGCTGCTGCTGCTGCTTACACGCCGAGTTAGATCCCACGGCCGGCTGCGGGTTGACCCCTTTGCTGCTGTGCAAGCTGCCCGGGGGAGGGGGGGGGGGTTCCTTGTCGCCGCCGCCGCCGCCGCCGGTTGCGAGGCGCCAAGGGAGGACAAACCTTCAGCTGAAAGCGGTGCCCGGGGGAGCTCGTTGCTGCTCCACGGGAGTGGTTTGTGTGCCGTTGCGGAGTTGCTGATGACAACGTCGTGTTCGTGGGGGTGAGGGTTTGTATGAGGCGGACAGCTGAACGCGGCGTAGCGAGCAAGCAGCACTTGTAGCAGGAGTTCGGCCCCTACCGAGGTGGATTTCATTCGTCTGCAGGACACAAGAGCAGAACGTGGAGGGGGGTCCCCGAGTGGTGGGTTGGGGGGGGTTGGTGGGTCCGGGGGGGGGCTGTGGACAAGATACTCGCGACAGAGGACTCGGCGTGCGCAGCAGCAGCAACAGCAGCAGCAGCGAAGATGCTGTCGTCCAGAGACGTGGCGAGTGAGCTGGTGGTCGACTACATCTCCTACAAGCTCGGCCAGCGCGGCTTCGCGTGGCGGGCAGACCCCGTCGCTCCTCCTGACCGCGCCGACGGAGCCGATCTTGCCGACGGCGGCGGCGGTGGTGGCGGTGGCCTCGACGGCGGCGGCGCACTCGGAGGCGGCGCCGCCGACGCCGTCGTCGGTGGCGTCGGCGAAGTTGGCAACAACCACCAGCGTCACCTAAACCACAGCAACCACCACAGCAATCACAGCAACCACCGCAGCCACCGCAGCCACAGCCACCGCCATCACCTCGGCGACGTTGACCCGGTCCAGAGGGCGATGAGGGCGAGCGGGGACGAGTTCGAGAGGCGCTACAGGAGCGCCTTCGCACAGCTGCCCGCCCAACTGCAGGTCAGCCAGGCCACGCTGAGGGCCCGCTTCTCCGACGTGCTGGACGAGCTCTTCAGAGACGGCGTCAACTGGGGCCGCGTGGTCGCCTTCTTCGCCTTCGGCGGGGCGTTGTGCGCCGAGTGCGTGGACAAGGAGCTGCCCGGCCTGGTGAGCAGCGTCGCCACGTGGATGACCTCCTACCTGGAGGACCGACTGCTGTGGTGGATCGACGATAACGGCGGATGGGTGAGTTGCGCCTTGGCTTTTGTCCCCACCACCACAGCGTTGTCTCTCATCCGTGGTGATGACGGTGGTGGTGGTGGTGGTTGTGGTGATTTTGTTGTGGTGGTTGTGTGATTGCTGGTGGTTGTATTGATCTTCTGTGTGGCTTATCCACGTGCTTGTTTGTAATGTCCTCCCCGTCTCCTGTCCATGATCAATGAGTACTGTAATGTAATACGCTGCGTGTTACTGTCCCCTGTAGTGATCAATCGGTTATGTAATATATTGAAGGTGAAACATAGACAAACCTCGCTGACAGAATTCACATTTAAGTCGTCGTGTACAGAGGGCTACACAATCGCAATGTCCTCCAAAAAAAAATCGCACTTAATACACCAAGAAAAATAATGCTTTGGATCTGTAAAAATTTGCTCAAGTCGTATTAACTGAAACGTAAAAGTGGGTATATGTTATCCTATTTGAATGAAAACGAATCGTGGATCCCAACATTTTCCTCTTGAGCCTGGGTTGAGGGCTATGAATATGACTTTTGTACAGAGGGAGGGGGGGAGGGCATGTTGTTTGTACAAACATAAGGATTATATTTCAACATGAATCTGGCCATAAGTGACACCGAATCCAAGCTTGTCCTTTTCCCCCTTTGTTGAGCTGTCACGGTGACCACCAGCACCTCTGTCCTAGTCTCCTTGTGACAAGAAAGCTCCCTTTGCTGTGTACGCGTCATCTAAATTCACTGTAGCCCTGCCATTTTGCTCTGGAGTGAGATGCATTTAGTAGCACAGCTGAAGGAGAAGGCGTGTGTTCAGATTTTAGGCATTTGCTTCAAACTGACTGGCAGAGTTGTGGTTTGTTACAGAAGGCTTTGATTTATGTTGCCCCTACCCACCTTTATTTTTTTTCCTTCGTGTATGTATTTAGATTCAAACTTTCATTTCCCCTTTAAACAGCGTGCGGTATAGAGTCTTCACACAAGGGGCATTTGCCTTCAGTGGTTCCATTAGGAAATGCAGATTTTATTCATGGCATTGGTTGTGTGTACATCATTTTCATTATTTAAAATTAAAGACATATTCGAACGAATGTATTAAATGCAATATTTTGTAATTGCATTACTTTAAAAGCCTCTGAAGCACTGTCTGGAGCACAAACCTGATTGCTTTTGCATTCGCATGGTCAATATTCCTGTATTTTGCATGTTCACGTTTTGAAAATGCTCAGCATATTTTATTTTTTTCTATCAATTATTGCTTTATTCAAGAACTATGCTAAGCACACTTGAACAATGCTAAGCACACATAAGTGAAAGCAATTAGCATACTCTCAGAAAACAGGTTTCCAGCTGCATAATGGACTGAAAATCATTCAAATGTGGAAAAAAACACATTGGTGTTTAGAACTTCAGAGTGGTTGTAGCACTGCAAACATGTTCAGTGGTTTTTGCCTTAACTCCAAAGCAACATGGGAAAAGCGTATTGCTCCGTATAATTTGAATGTTTTCAAATTAATTGTCCACGACATGCATAGACAAGCGTTGGTGCCAGATGGTACAGCATTCACTGCACAGAGCGGTGGGACCCTCTTGAGGCTTGCCTGTCCCAGTGAGAGGCCACCCTTGCGCGCATGTGCCAGCGCTTGCTGGTGGCTGTGTCATCGGCCGTGGGATGACACGGGATGCACGCGCGTGCACAGCCTCAAGGTTTGCGTTCTGCAGACCTAAACGCCGCTGTGCTTGCTACAATTTCCACGCTGTTTGCACAATTTATCATTTCGCTGGAGTTCATTGTGTCTTAAAAATGTAAAACTGCACGGATATTGTAACTCATTAATGAATTTGCTACCGGCAGCATTTTATTTGTAGTTGTGAATGCAACATGCGATTTTATTCTCATGTTTTTGCTTATTCATTGACATATTTGGCCAGGAAGCAGTGGCAATGCGGCTACAGTAGTTATTGGCAACTCGCAAATATACAAGCATATATTTAGTTTCTTTAATTGGATTAAATAATTGACAACGTTTGAGCATATGTGTGGATCGCTTAAATATTGGACTGCATTTTTATAGTTTGTATTTTATTCTTTAATTAATTTGTTAAACTACTGAGTGGTTCAAAATTGAGGCCCCTACAATATTTTGCTGAACCAAGAGGAAAGCTGTAATTATTCTATGGGTCTTTCGGTAAAGCCACGTAGATAGAAAACAATATATATCAGGTGAAGACAATTGCTTGCGTTGCGATCGAAACGTCGTGATATTTTTTTATAATTTTTCTATCTACGTGGCTTCACCGAAAGACCCATAGAATATGTATTCCTGCAGTCACCAAAGCTTTAAGTCAAGATTTAAAGCTGTAATTTGCAAGCCTTAATAGTCATGAGGGCCTTTAAGCAGGGTGGGTGTTTTTCATTGGTTAAATAATTTACATTCTTAATGCCTGCATCCAAAAGCAAACAATGGGGCACATACCAATGTTGAGTGCCTTGTTTTTCCCGGAGGAACAAACCCAAAATTTCCCCTACCCAAAGCGGATATGCCAACCACAAGTCCGTTAGCCTGGTCAAGAACGCTCAAGTGTGCCTTGTCGCTCACATTTTTGCCAAACAATACCGCAAGGAGATATCTGGTTGCGTTCTTGCTGCCCACATTGCAGCTTTGGCAGCACGATTATTTAATTATTTAACCGCAAGGTTGGGTTTCACCCTCCTGGAGAGATGGGTCCTCAAAGCCATGCTCCGTTTTGTGCAGTGACATTGTCAACATAGGGGTGGTGTTTGAACACAGACGCTTTGCTCGCACTCCCTGTTGCGGTTTGCAGACACACCAGCCTTCTGAGAGAAGTCAGATTCCAGGTGAATACCGAGCAAAATTGTCTGGTAGCAGACCTAAAATGTGAAATGTTACTTCCTGTTTTAGTGGTAGTCGTAAGGGCTGTGCAATAGGACAGATTGCTTACAAGCCAAGTTTTGAATGCCAAGCATGGGATTAAATTGCAATCATATAAACGTACAGCAATAGGGGTCAGCTGGGTTTTTTTCCGTGAGCACCCACATCAGGTGTGTGACCATTAAAGCAATATGATACATAGGGCTCTGTGCTTTTCACATTAGGGCTATCTATTGGTCAGCGCATGACGCGCACTAGCTGGAAAACCCAGTCTGACTCATTTTATGCGGCACTGAATAATATCGATGGTATGTCAAATCTAGAGGCCATTTTATGGGGTGTGGAATGAAAATGAAATTGAGTGACTATCGTGGTTGGCATTTCTGGGAATAATTCCTCATGAAAACTTCCACCTGATTCAGTGTTATTTTGTTTCTGTATTTGAAGACACATTTAAGGGCCAGGCATTGAAAAAACAGTTAATGTGAATGTATCATTAATTGTAAAGATTGTTCTGTATTTACTCGTAATTTAAAAAAAAAACATTAAACTTTGACAATATTTGTTTTATTTTGCTCCTTGTCCTTTGCCACTAATGTACAAGAATTATAAATATAGAATAGATTTTCAACTTTCTTTTTATGCAATGTCTTCATTCTTTTCTTGTATTGACTGTGACTTTAAATAAATAAATCGGGTAATATTCTCACTTTCTAGCCGCTTTTAAAACGCATGTACCTTTTTTTTGTGAACGGAAGCTGCTGCCTCGGAGTTTTCTGCACGAGATAAAAAAAAGAAGAGGAAGATTAAAGTTCAAGGCACACACTTTTGAGAGGCACTGGTGTACTCGTGTAATTGGGTGCCTGCAAGATGTCTAATATAGTAGCTAAATTATAGGTGTGTGTTTGGTTGGTGGGCACTGCTTATGATAAAAAAAAACATTCACATAAGATATGTTATAATGACTACAATGCAAATGATATGTCGAAAGTACAATAATACATTAGCTGAAAACCAACTTGTGCCAATCCACCCAATTTTTTATTTGTCTAATATTTCTACATTATTTAATTTACCTCTTGATCTTAAACCCACTGTTTTGGGGAAAATATATTTCACATGCCTTTGATTCCTTGGTTATAAGTTCCAAGTTTGTCACACAATGAGTCATAGTTGTGTAGGAAGTTCTGGACAAGATGTGCCCCCACGCCACCCACGCCTGCCCCTCCGCCCCCCGCTTCCTTCGTGTTTTGCACATCTCTGATACACACGCGGAAATCCCGCACCCATGGGCTCGCCGGATGGCAGCCCCACATGACATATATATGATGGCCTCGGAAATGAGGCCATATTTAAATGAATTTGTGCAGCAGTCGTATTAAATAATGTTTAAAAAAAATTCTCAAAAAAACTATAAGCCCCCCTCCCCTGCTTCCTTCCTCTGCTTCCCTGGCAAAAAAAAAACACGCAAAAAGGCATTCCAGAGGCATGACTCATTCAAGGACCATTTCCAAGAGGCTCATGTGATGCTGGGGTTCTTCGTCTGCGATGCAGACGTGTCTTCGTGTGCGCTTTTAAGTTGTTAAGTGGCTAGAGGAGGAGGGGGGTACAAGTAAGCGTGCCGTCTGCTCAGAATATTGGGTTGATGTGTCGCCAAAAAGATGGGAGGCACTTTTGTCATTCCACGTGAGATTCATATCCCTGGGCTAGTAGCCTGGTGTCATGTATTTGTAAAAAAAAAATACGAGGGGTTAGGCAAGAGAGAGAGAGACCTGTGTAAGAGCAGCATTTAGGAGAGTGAAATCTAAACCGTTCTCGGAAATAATTAAATAAGTCAATATTTTGGGTCTTTGAACACTTGCAGCTTTAACGAACACATTACTGCATCTGACTAACGTAGTGAGGAAATCATTACCGAATCAACTGTTATGACAATGAATGCAGTGTATTTAAATGTGTGTAATTGTGACCAAGATTATACACAAAGCCACTGTGGTCTGCTAAAGCGTCATATTCTAATACAAAAAGCCAACATATTTTGGCAAACCATTTCAGCACTTCCACGCCTTTCTGTTGCTGCTTAGTGATGAATGATGTTTGTGTTGCATTGAACAGTGAAG